AATAAGAAAGATACATTTTTTGTTAATAGTAATAGCTAGCAAGCAGTAGATATATGCAAAAACATAAAAAAAAAAACAAGTTACCAAACAGGTTTAAACTTACCTGTGTCCCCACCGCATGCTCCTGTCCGAAGGTCTGAAGGTTCTCGGGTGACCGCAAAGGATCATGGGGCAGGCGCATTCGCAGTACAGATCTTTGGCCGGGAGACGAGGAGAGACACAAGGTAAATCAATGCAGGCAGCCCAGCAGCATGCACCCGCACTGAATCCATGGGACACAGAAGACGCAGCAATCAGCACTGGATCAGAGACCAGCCCTGGGGGACTGATGAAAACTACTGGAAAGAAAAAGATGATCGGATCAAAAGGCATCATTTAAGGTACGTACATACACCAGCATGGGATGTTTGGACTTTAATGTCACTTTAACAGCTTCACGACCAACGGCGTGCAGTGTAGGTCGCTGGCATCGGGGCTGTTTAAACTTGTAAAGCCGACTGTCAGCTGCCGCCAGATCGCTTCTACGGGCTGGTAAACGGGTACCCCGTAGAAGCGATGCATTTTTCACTACATTTTGGGGTTTGATAAGGAGTTGCGCTAATATCGAGCAGCATAAAAATTTGCAACTGCCACCATTTTATTCTATAGGGTCTTGGCTTTCAGAAAATATATAATGTGTGGGGGTTTTAAGTAATTTTCAGGCCTAAAATGTGGAATTTAACATGGGTGCAAATTTTTTTTTTTTTTAAAAGGCCTCAGTCACGAAGGGGTTAAGGAACTTGAATGCATTTTTAAGATTGAACTCCTGAGTTTAGTGTGGCTTTAGAAGGACAGTGGAGCCTGCTGCCCGTCTAAAGGAGGTCCTAAACTGGACTTTGAAAAATTGTAAGCTGAACTCTCTCTGTAACTTTCACCTTCCCAATTTCTACAGCCTCTTCTGCTGGACCTCCCACCAACCTCTGCTAGTTCTATAGCTCTAGACTAGAGAATCCTTCTCAACCAGGGTGCTGGTGCACCCGGCGATGTCTCCTGACTCCCTCGGGGATGCCTTGAAACTTTTGTACAATGTGATGCTGTTACATGGTATAGACAGACCAGCTGCCATCACCATGGAAATGAATGACGCTAATTAAGGGAGGGTGGAATCCATTTACAAAAGGACGGAAGTTTGCCTCCATCCAGGCTTGCTCTGCCCTTGATGCCCCGTCCCATGCAGCAGCAGCTGTGGCTTCTGATGTGATAGCTGGACCCTGATGTAAAGGAGGGACTGAGGCTCATGATGTAAAAGAAGGGGCCCCACTTTTTTTTGTGTGGGGTCCTCCATTAAAATCTATATGGTCCTCCATTAAAAGCTATATCAGAGCCCTATCTGGGTTAAAGGAGAACTATGAGGTAAGTGCTTTTCACTCACCTCATAGTTCTAGCCGACCTTTGACAATGAGACTGTCACAGGTCGGCTCAGTAGATCGGGAAGTGAGCGAACGCATACCGGCGTTCGCTCACCTCTCGATCCTGTCACGGCTCTCTGCCGTGACAGAGGAGGGGCTGGATTCCCCCCTCCGACCCGCCAGCGCTGACAGGCAGAAAGGACGGGGGTGGGGGCGGGGACAGCTGGCTCTGTCTCTAGATAGGCAGAGCCAGCTGTCAGTCACGCAGCTGGGCGGATCCCGGCACAATTGTCGGGATCCGCTTCAGCTGCGACGTTTCAGTATACCGCGAGCAGCAGCTCGCGGTATACTGCGGCGTCTCAGTATACCGCGAGCTACAGCTCGCGGTATACTGAGCCTAGGGTGACAGGAGGACGCTAGTTTGTGTCCTCCCGTTACCCTAAGGAGAACTATGGGGAAAAGCCTTAACCCCATAGTTCTACTTTAAGGGTCTGGTATGGATTTAGGAAGGACCACAATTTTTTACATTTCATTTTGGAGTGACCTTTTCATACTTTTAAAGGGTGCTGTGCCCGAAAAAAGGTTGAGAAACACTGGTCTGAAGGCCCAGTGATGACATCACTGAGTCTAAAATATGGTATATCTAGAAAACACCACTGCGTAGATAAAAAAAAATCTTTTAGTATGTAGCCAAGCAGGAACCATGCAAGTGATAACATTGGCTGATTAAACCAGCTTTTTGTGGCATCTGTTTTGGTCTTCTCAAAATGCAGGTATTATAAGACGGAAGCATAATGCAGTAACGCTGATGAACGGGTTAATAACCGACAATCACATGCTGACCCTGGATGTTCAGTGTGTTTTCCATTCCAAAAAATACTGTGTAACATAATGTGTAATCTAATTGCAAACTTCCCGGCTTTGGGCACTTGCACATTTTTCTTATTACAGTTTTCGTTTCTTACTTTAATCGTCTTGTCAAGGGGAATAAACGACCTAGTGATTCCCCTTCATGGAAAGGCAGCGACATAACACCTATAAGAACAGTCATTTCTCAGATTTTCTGCAAAACTAGTACATGAGAGTAAACAGATGGGAAGGGAAAGTCTTTCTATAGCTCAGCGGTATAATGATAATCACTGGCCACCAGCTGTCTCTGGTTCCCAGCTACAGGTTTTGCTACCCGGAATGTACGTTGTGGTACAGGCTGTACTTTTTTTTCATTTTATCTCAATTTATTAACCCCTTCATGACTGAGCTAGTTTTCAGGTTCTGTTCATAAATGACTGACACATTTTTTACATTTTTGCTGTGTGATTCTTAAATTTCTGACTGGAGTTGTGCTTTACCTTTGCTGCATTACCATGCTTACACGCAAACAGTATACACTGAGTGGCCAGATTATTATGACCACCTGACGTTTGTAGGCAAATTAGCTATAATTTGGCGCTGAAGTTGCTAGAGGGCCAGACCATTATAAATAGGGAAGCAGGTTGTTTACCACGACAGTAGAAGTGATTTTTTTCTGAAGATTCGGGTAAACAACGCGATTTAACAGCCTTTGAATGTGGGATGATTGTTGGCGCTCGGAGCCATGGCGCGAGTATCAGCAAAACAGCAGAATTCGTTAAATGTTCAAGAGCAGCTGTTGTTAAAGTGTTTAAAGACTGGACTGTCAGCCGAAAATCTGGGTCTGAACGTGAGAATTGTGGCCGTCAGCAACTATCAATGTTAGGGCAGAACGGAGAGTGGTAAGACTGGTGATCTCGTGGAGTCGCGAGGCGGCCTTAAAAATAATACTTTAAAAATTCAGTAAGGTCTTCATTAGTAGAATAGTCTGGTGCAGCATATACCATCCATATCTTCATCTCACCCAGGATTTATTTTAGCATGTAGTGTAACAATTGTATTACCTCACTGGTCTAGGGGTTCTGAAGAGCATTCACCGGAGGTTAGGAACATGTGCGGAGTGCCCCTATTGACACCCATGTATAGCCAGCCTAAAGGCTCTCTTGTTTACCAGAAGAAAATTGGCTCCAAGCAACTCTCTGTTTTATCTGCTGCTAAGAATGTAATCCGCACTGATCAAGTAGCAGTTCTGAGAAACAATGACGCTGTTCACATTAAAAACTCTGTGTCCTTCCTCTGTCAGGATAATAAAGCATAGAACTCAGTACTTCGATCTGAATTGGTAATAAGAGGGAATAACAACAATGGATATTTAATATGTTTCAATGAAAGTGATTGAAATAGATGTTTATTGAGGGCCCGTTCACGCCAGGGCATTGCGCTAATCGCATGATACCTAGTGCACTTAGTGTGTAGTATCATGCACTAGTGTATTGCTTTGCCATTCATTTGAATAGAACCCCAAAAAACCTCCTTGTGCCCTCCTCTTGGAACGCTCTACTTTTTTCACTGACACACAGTAATATGGTGCTGCGCGCTGCACTGCAATGTACAGCTGCCGGGAGATGCATTGGGGGTGCCATTCCAATGAATATCACCGCAATGCACCTAGTGCACTGTGCAATAGCATGCAGTAAACACATGGTACAGTATCTGGAGTAGTTGCTCAGAGTTGGTGATGTCCCTACACTTTTTACCACCTGAAGCCAGGGAGGGGGTGCCAATGGTTCACTTTACAGGGGGTGCTGGTGGTGCATAGCACCTCTGGCTACTCCTTTGTCCATCCGTGCACGGATCCTCTCCCAATCAGCCCATGTGAAAGGGGCCTTACACTCTGAAAATACAGGATAGAAGTTGAATGGCGGATGTTGAGGAATGCGAATTGTTGCACGTGACGTCTTATTATTCTGCATTATATCAAACAAACTATTGTTGCAGCACATATGGTTTATTTGGTGCATAGTAGAATGTGTAACTGTCTTACGCTATCATCCTCTTTCTGCACGACTGCACACCTCCATTGTGCCGAATATTGACGGATTCATTTTCGGAAACTTTATTTATTGGTAGGTGTGAAAGTTTTTACACGAAAATATTTTTTTAACATCTGGTGTACAAGTCAGCTTTTGTTTTCACACTGAAAAAACTATTTGGCACATCCAAAGAAAAACATGTTTCTGTGTGCCAGATATTCAACACACTAACAATAGTTTAAAGGGCCCTGTGAATTTGCGCAGGACTGGCACACGTACAATTGCACCTTTTTGAGGCACATACAGCCGCGATTCAGGAGCAGCCTGCCCTGTAGTATTTTTGTTGTTTGGCTTATTAAATCTGCCTCCATGTCCCCTATCTTCAAAATACTATCAATGTTGCTGTAAAGAAGTGAACAACTTCTAATAAAAGGCAGCAAAACTGCAAACTCAGCTGGCTCATCTTCCTCAAGACTTGGGGCACAGGAGGAATGTGAGGTCAGGATACGCCCAGCCCTGTGTGGAGCGATCCATTCCAGCACACAGGGGACAATGGAATGCAGAATTTGTTTTATTTCCATAGCAGAAGGGGGACAAATTTCATATATTAAAGTATTCCTCAGGAAGGGGGCTCCACTGAGGGCTGTGCATGTAGGCTTTGCATTGTCGCCAAGGCAGACGCCTGTGAGCCTATAGCTTTATTTCCAGGGACGTCCCACATGACTGGCCTCGACTTTGAGTTTGTGTGCAGACTGATAAACAAGTTGAGTATAAATAGGGAGGAGACAGCCCATTGTGCAGAGCAGCAGTCTGCGGAGGACCAAGGGGCAGAGTAAGCTGTTGCATGTTAATAATGCTTGCTATCCTCTAATCTGCTTGTGCAGCTTCATTTCTTCTACAACTCTTCTCTTCTTTTACTAAACTTTATTTAAAGGAAACGTGCACTTTCAGACAAAGTCATCAGGGCTCTTTAATCATGGCTTGGTGATTGTACTAATGGCTTTGACATTGTAATGGCTGAGAAGGTTTTCGAGCTATAAAAAAGCAGTTGGGTACCCTTCAAGAACACTCGGGAGGATTTATCAACACTGGAGCAGACTAAAACTGGAGCAGAAGTGCATGGCAACCAATCAGCTTCTCTCTTTAGTTTGTTCAGTTAAGATTTAAAAATGAAAGAGAGAAGCTGGTTGGTTGACGTGCACAGCTGCTCCAGTTTTCGTCTGCTCCAGTTTTGATAAATTCCCCACTCTGTATTCTTTACCATTTCCCTGGATTTTGAGGGGTACAATGTTAGTACATTAGCAGACTAAGTTTGGAAGGGTGTGAAAAGTGCAGTTGCTATGTGCAGAGTGCCTTAAGCCTTTGCTCCCCATCAGATTCCAGCTAACTGCAGCAACATAAATTCTGATTGCTTGCTATGGTTTACTGCACTCTGAAAGCATTCAATTGTTCCTGAAAGTCTTCAGCATACGTGCCAGCATTTTAATTAAAGGGACATGTGGCTGCTAAAGTAGGAAAGTTAAAGTGTATGTAAACCCAAAATGTTTTTTTCGGTGTGTTTGGTATCATATTTCATCAAATACAGTTTTCATATGCATATGATCCTTTGTTAATCTGTTGCAAAGTTTTACGCCTGGAGGTTCTGCAAGAAAAGTCACTTCCTGTTGCAGACTGACAACGCTAAGCCACTGCTTCACAATAAGCAGAAGCATTGTCAGCCTGCCATGTGAGCTCCTTCAGTCTGCCACCGGGCTACGTGACCTGACAACGCTACTGCTGGTAACTGTGAGGCAGCAGTTTAGTGTTGTCAGCCTGACACAAAAGGTAATGTTACAGGTATTATATTTGGGTAAGAAACTTAACAAAAGAAACACAAAACAATTCTCAAGAAAACTGTACACCGTAAGACATGATGACAAGCATAAGAAAAACATTGATTTTAGCTTTACATACATGTTAACTCAATTTTTCATGGCTCCTACTCAATAGCTTCGATGGCTGCTCTAGATCTTGCACCTCATCACTCTCCAAAGTGGAGTGGGCTTCTCGGGGGAGGCATTTAGGAGAACAGGGGCTGTTGCTTCAGGTGCCACAGCATGCATGCAGTCCTTATACCACACCTATACCAGGGGTCAGCAACCTTCCACATTGAGTGTCATTTTCACAAGCATTAGACAACCATTGTGCCTGTGAACCATAGCGCAGTATAGTCTTGTAGTTTGTTTTTACTTGTTTAACTTGTCATTAGCAGTAAAATTATGAGTTCAAAATTTGGTTAACTGTTGCAGAAATACATGTTGATCCCCGATGCATGCACTTCAGACCTTGGAGCCACCCCAGTGCATGCACTTCAGACCTTGGAGCCATCCCAGTGCATGCACTTCAGACCTTGGAGCCACCCCAGTGCATGCACTTCAGACCTTGGATCTGCCCCAATGCATGCACTGCAGACCAGCCCCCATGCATACACTTTAGTGCTTAGATCTGCCCCAATGAATGCATTACATTCCCCCTAAAGCTTGCACTTTAGACCTTGGATCAGCACCAAACCCTGTACCTGTAAGAATGCAGATTTCAATGACATCAGGCAGGTGGGTGGGCCAGGCTTTGCAACTAAGACCCTAGTTAGCTGTCAGTTAAAGCAAAAAGCATTGCATAAGCATGTCAGAGGTTACCAGCACCTAGCCTATAACCCCTAACCTATACTAAAAGATAGATGTACACTGCTTTTCCTTTGCTGAAACCTTTTACAAATTTAACAAAAAATAATGGATAGAAACAGCTGAATGTAACGGGATGGCATCCAATCAAAAGGCAGCTTGGTTTAGTCTCCTCATTCTAAGCTGCTGATCGGTTGTCATGGGTTACTATACTTTATATCCTTTTTTTTTTTTTAAATAAAGATTTCATAAGCAAAACAATACATGGGAACTAATCAGAATTCACTCTGCTGAAAGACTAATCCATAGATTCTGATTGGTTGCTGCACTTAAGGAATACTACTTAGGAATGATATATCTTTATCAAATAAGGCTGTAAATTGTTACATAAGTCCGTATATATTTGTAAATATGAGACAGCAAATTTGATATCTAAAAAACACATATTGCTGGCTGCCGGCCATCCAGCTGACTTGAAGAGATAAGCTAAATGTAAATACAGTAATACCTTGGTTTACAAGCCTAATTCGTTCCGGAAGCATGCTTGTAATCCAAAGCGCTTGTATATCAAAGCGAATTTCCCCACAGGAAATAATGGAAATTCAGATGATTCCTTCCAGAACCCAAAAATATTCATATAAAAATGATTACAATACTGTACTGTAATATAATACTGTACAAAATATAAAGAAAAATAAACCAATTTCCGGTTACCTTCGTGGCTGGTGTGAGGGAGACGAGAGAGAGGAGGATTATTGTGCAGGACGACTTTCACCATCACTAACGGAATCACTGCTATCTCTTGGCTCAATGGAATCTTTTTCATTTCGTGAAACCTTAACAAGGAATCTATCCAATGTGACATTGCATTGTCGTTGAACAGACTCATCGCTCGCACTGCTACAGCCTTATTCGGGTGGTACTTTTCTACAAAATTTTGCTCTTAATGCAAGACATTTGCTTGTATATCAAGGCAACATTTTTCAGAAATGTTTGCTTGTCTTGCAAAACGCTCTCAAACCAAGTTACTTGTAAACCAAGGTATTACTGTACGCCAATTCAGCTTTTCAGATTCCCCAGCTACTGCTAAAAGGCTTCTGCTAGAATGTTTTAGAACACAACATTTTCTCAAAGAAGCAATTGCAAATATTTAAAAAGTCTTCTAATTACTTGAAAATTTCCCTTCTCTAAATCGTTTTGTTCAAACATAATTAAAGAATATTTTAAAGCTTCAAGTAAAAGTTTGGCATCACTCGTATGCACTTTGCTCTCACACTGAAAGGAGAACTATGGGGTCAGGGCTTTTCCCCATAGTTCTCCTTAGGGTAACGGGAGGACACAAACTAGCGTCCTCCCGTCACCCTAGGCTCAGTATACCGCGAGCTGTAGCTCGCGGTATACTGAGACGCCGCAGCTGAAGCGGATCCCGACAATTATGTCCGCCCAGCTGTGTGACTGACAGCTGCCGCTGCCTATCTAGAGGCAGAGCCAGCTGTACCCGCCCCCGTCCGTTCCGCCAGTCAGCGCTGACGGATTGGAGCGGGGAGTGGGGAGTGCAGCCGTGACAGGATCGAGAGGTGAGCGAACGCCGGTATGTGTTCGCTCACCTCCCGATCTACTGAGCCGACCTGTGACAGTCTCATTGTCACAGGTCGGCCAGAACTATGAGGTGAGTGAGGAGCACTCACCTCATTGTTCTCCTTGAATTCCTGTAGAAATAAAGGGAGTTTCTACATTTCATCTACAGTACCACCTGCTGGTGAATCTAGGTATGACAATGTAACCATAAAATGCAATGATATTATATGGATACCGTTATGATTTTAAAGAGGAACTCTAGAACCCCCCACCCCAACTGAGAGGGCTAACTACTCGTTTTGGTTTAGGGACTAAAAATATCAAGACGATATACTTTGTATATTTAATAATCATAATGTTTCTCCAATTAGACTTTGCCTTCCTTTCCTTTGTTCTTATTGTTTAGCTTGATGAAAGTGGCTTAATGATAGGTTGTTAGGCATCATTGCAAAATACTGCTCTTTGCTCTTAACTCCTTTTATGTTATGATAATAAGTGGGGGGGAATTGTTCTGTAGTCCAGCTGGTGTAAACTGGGCAGGGCTGATGACACTGCTTAGGATTTCAGTGTTGAGGCATTGCACTTTAATGCACAACCAATAATTACTCTAACTGCCATAATAATTGTACACTAAACATACAAAATAATGCTTTCCTCTAAGATACTGTAGTTATGCCCTAAAAATTTAGCTTTTTATAAGTTAAGCTGTATTGTCAAAGTAAAGACAAGTTAACCCTGCGCCCAGCTAGTCTAAACCTGCTGTCTGCTGATAACATTATTTGGTTTGGGCCAGCCTGACCTCCACTATTCAAGGTTTGGCATAGCAATTACTGTGAGAAACACGAGAGTAAAGCAGCTACCTCACCTAGCATCGCGGGATTAGAAACTTGATATGGGGATTGATAATAACAATTAGGAGGAAAGTACATAATAAGAGGTGCAGGGAATGATGTAACCTCTGTGGATTGGATGGAGGGTGCCTGGCTTTGTTCAGCTGACTTTACTTGTATGAAAGAATATTTTGTGCTCAGTAGAGTGTTTGCTTTGTTTTCTGGATACTTGCCATAGTAGGTGTGTAAATAACATGGATAGATTGGAACAGTGTGTTACCTGCAGTGATCCTTCTCTGCCAGATTTTCGTTAATCAAATTATGTCTTAAAGAGGAATTTGACTCGAGGACAAAAGAATAGTCACCAGTGCTGTTGGAGGTCTCCTTGCAGCAGATGACTCTCTCCCTGACCCCATGTGACCGGGCTGGACCAGTCATGAGGTATTGCCCTGTCACATGGGAAACAGTGCATGGCACGTGCTTACCCATGCTCAAAAGTGCCAGGTATTTTATTAACTTCTGGTGGACAAATGTAGTGGAACAGGAATGTGGAAGGGTGAGTATTTGCTGCTGGGGGAGGGGGGTTTATGTGACCCCTTTCCTTGGCCCATACAGGTTCACTGTAAGGAAGGACATTGAATTAGACAAAATCAATAAGCGCTCCCTAATGGTTAACCAACAAATCTCCATAAATACAAATATGGAAGAAGAATATAAAATTGTGAGTCAAATACAAAAAGTGCTTTCTGTTTGTTATTGCTATCTATGTAGAATTGTACAGACTTCACCTGGCCTTCTGTCCCAATGACCAACAAGGCATTGCTGAGAGCTCAACTTCCTGCAAAATATCCTCTAGGAAGCCAGTGGCATCAACCCCTAGTACATTTTTCAAATGGAGACTACAATCTAGAGAGAGGAAGAGGGTGGTTCAGCTCCCATCCAGCAATGACATGGGTCAGGACAGAAATCAAGAGGAAATATCCCCAACAGGACAAAGATGAACATTTAATATCTGCTCAGCGGATGGTTACACAGTAAATACATCTTGCAGTACCTTCAGCTTTGCATGGTGTTCATTCATCTTGCAGTATATTTAGTTTTGCATGATATTAATTTAGCTCTTTCATGTAGTGAGAATTTTCTCGTGTTACATTGATGGTTCTTTCCATTAATCCTGACTGTCTCCTTTGTCTTCTTGTAGGTGAGGCCCCAACATGTGGAAGGGCTTTGTTCTTGCCCTGGCTCTCTGCCTTCTCCCTTGGGGAGGGGCAGGGAGCCAGGGTCACCGAACGCTGTGTAAAAAACCACCAGATTGGAAGATAGGATCCCAGAGTCCCATGCTGGATGCAGATGGAACAGTCACAGTTGTGGCACTTCTTCAAGCAAGCTGATACCTGTGCCAGCTGCAGGCTTCCAGGTAAGGCACAGTTTAGCACAGTTATAAAAAAAATACCCTAAAGTCAAATAAAGAAGCCTAAATTCTACTATAAAACTTAAACATACCAAAAAAGGACATTGTTGGTCTAAACTTATTTTGATCCTATCAGCTTGGATGAACTGCAGCAGAAGTTGGATAATGAAAGCTATACAAACGTGTCCTTTATGGTCATCGACCACCAAGAGGAACGCTCACACCACGAACTGAAGTCCAGGGTCTCTGAGCGCATTCCAGTGTATCAGCAAGAGGAGGAGCAGCCAGATGTCTGGAGACTACTGAAGGGGAAAAGAAATGACATTCTCATTTATAACAGGTGATTGATGCCATCCATGTATTCATTCATATTCAGTAGCAGATGATGGATGTGTTAATACAAGGCAGAACCATAAAATCACCAACTTTGCAAATAACATTTAGTACCTTGATTGCTTTCTTGTGCTTCCACAGCCCCTTGAGGAAGCCATTACTTCCAGCGTTCAAATTGTGCCTGTCTGTTTGAACTTCAGACACAAAACCTGGCAGTCTGTGTTACATCTGGTTCCTAAAGGCTACAGCATACACTGCATGAAATATTTTTGGTACCCCCATAATGTTCCATAAAACTTGTTTTCTCAAAGAAAACCCGTTCTTTTGTATACATTTTTCAACTGTTAACATGTACAAACAGGGCAAATAATGATTTGATCCTCTGAAGGTTTTGTAAGTTTGCCCACTTACAAAGAAAAGAAAGGTCTATAATTTTTATCCTAGGTGTATTTTAAATGATGGAGACAGAATATCAACCAAAAATCCAGATAAAAATGTTATAAATTGAGTTGCAGTTCAGTGAGTAAAATAAGTATTTGATCCCCTACCAACCAACAATTATTTCTGGCTCCCACAGACTAGCTGTGTGGCACACAGATTAGTCCTGTCAATTTAAGAAGGTCCTCCTAACGACAACTCGTTATGTATATCAAAGACACCTGTCCACAGAATCTCTTTCTTCCATTTAAATCTCACCACCATGAGCAAGACCAAAGAACTGTCAAAGGACCAATAGGCACAAGATTGTAGACCTGCACAAGGCTGGAATGTTCTACAAGACTATCAGCACGAATGTTTAAAGTGGCATCTCCACTAGTGTTTGATTCTGTATAACTTGTTTCTTAAATCCCTGATAAAGGGGGCAGTGTACAGCTCCCAAAATGTGTTTGCCTTTTAAACACAACTTGTGTTTGGAATAAACTAATTTTTGGGCTTGAATGTAACAATGTGGCACTTCGATTCCAGATTTACCCATCTATTACCCTAATGACAGATATGTTCATTTTCTATGTTTTGTTTCAGGTGTGGGCGTCTGGTCAAACACTTCGAGCTTCCCTATGCGTTTTTGCAGTTCAGTTATGTGGAGGATGCTATAAAGTCAGTGTATTGTGAAAACACCTGTGGAGACTGCAAACACCAGGTATTGCTACTACCAGTTGTGAAAGTCAGCATGTCATGGTTTTAGTGTGTAAATTAGATGAATATTTTTTTTAAGGGGAAACCATTTTTAGGATTAGAAACCAAAGAACTGTAAATCTCAGTTCTGTTGTTGCAGTCTGGGCGCTAAATGTCCAATGGTGCTCGGCTCAAGCAGAAAGGAGCAGCATTTCTTATGAAACCCTTACAGCATGTAACCAGGACAATGCACACCGCATGATTAATTAAAATTACACCAACATTTTATTAAAAAAAAGATTAATACAAATAAACAGCTATAATGTTGTCTTGTAACTCTCAACTACAACCAAAAGCTTAAAATAGTGTACACCTTTCAGTCAAAACAACTTTAATTTTCTTTTTAAAATTATTAAATGATAATAATAAATTAATTCAATTTTAGTTTTACTTCTCAGATTTTTGTGTCCCCTAAGGGAAATTTTCCCCTACATGTGATAGGACAGAACAGGACAGAAAATGAGCTGGATTTCTCCAATAAAGACAGAGCACTAAAAACCTTTTTTTTTTCTGAATCGATTCAGCGGAGTAGATTAATGTTTGTCAATATATATAAAAAATAAGCCTTGATATTGCTCAGCATTGATTTTATAAATAGGCATAAAACTTTAGGAATAAACATTTCACATTACCAGTAAAATACCTTTTTTATATACCAGTCACATGTTGTTGCAAATTTAACTGAATTTAAACAAATGTTTAAAGAGTAATTACAAGAAGAAAAAGTTGTAAATGTGATTGTGTTAGGTAATGCTCTGACTGAAGAAAACTATTCATGATGTTTACAGGGACACCTGCAATACAGATCTAAAAAACTAGGATACAATTTCTGCTTTAGTCAATACCTGTAAGAGCCATGTCACTTGCAATCCTGTTGCTGATAGCAAGATGCCAGCACCAGGATCGCTCAAGAAACTACAACATGCTTCTATGTCATTACTCCCTCACTGACCAAAACAATGCAGAATCACCAGGAAGAAAGCAAAGTAATGACATCTCATAGGTTCGGCCTACGAGGAAGCAACATTGTGATAGTAGCAAACTTGCCAGCAACAAGTTCACTAGAGTGACATAAATATAACATTTGCAACCTGCATCTAAACTCAAATTGGGGATTAACAAAGATAATTGTTCTTTTTAGTGTAATTATCGGGGCATTTTCTGCAAATCAACAATGCCATTGCACAAGGTTTGTGTTCTGCCAGCTGCACCACATTACATTAAAAGATAACTGTTTCCGCTAGCGTGCACCAAAGTAATCAAACACTTGCATCATTATTCTAAGTTACAAACCATTCTAAAATGTACACCATTATCGCAGAGGTGTAAATACTCTAGTGATGGAAGGGGAGATAGCGTGGAGCAGCACTGCAGGAGGGAAAAGGTGAGGTGGATGTGTATGGACGGACAGCTCACCACTAACATACAATAAATTGTCATGCAACAGTTCTATTTATTTGGCGCTTAAAACACTAAATAAGTGTGCATATAAAAACTGGTGCTTTTTCCTCCATTCTCTAATCTCTCAAAGTGGATCTGCGGCCAGGCTATTAACATTAAATAATATATACTTAACATGCACATATTGCATATACAAGCAGTAAATACGTTTTAAAAACAAGCCCTCACTAACCTCTGTAGCCATAGGCACTGCTGAGCAATTCATCCTCAAAGTTCACAACAGAGGCACATTGTTTAAAGTAACACAGAGGTCGGTGTTTAACAGGTTAGAGCATCCTGTTCTTTGTTTACATTAGAAGGCTGCCAAATCACTGCTAGGAGAGAGATCAGGGGCTGATGAGCTGCCTCTGCCGTGAAGTTTGATGAATTACTCCACAGTGCTTCAGCTACCTTTACTGCATGTTACTTGAATGTCCTTAGTTTTCCTCATAGGTTCACTGTAGAAGGATGTTCATCTGTGTTTTGTCCCTTCTTGACATTTGCAACCAAGCCTAGGCCAAGGACATGGATGAAGCTGTCAGCCAGGATGGATTTATAAGCTGATTGTTATTGGTTTCCCCAAGAATAAACTTGTGCTCAGGTCCTCAGGCCCCCCCCCCCTTCATTGATTAAAAAGTGGAAGCTCACATAGCGCAAACTACCTGCATGTTTGCACAACCATCTTTTACTGGTTTTGTTAAACATACTCTGATATAAATAAACAGAAGGCAGTCGCATTGTAAAATACTGTATTATGTAGAATTTTCAAATGGATTAGGAGTTGCAGTACATTAAAAATATCTGTTCCTGTAGATTACCAGTGATGTGTGCAAGAAAGAAGAGGAAGTACCAACACAGGGTAAGGTAGAAGAAGAGCCGGTGGATGCACTGAAACATTGTCCACATCATCACCACCACCACCACCACCACAGACCTGGCCATCATCAGCAAGAGGAGGCCAAGGTGGCAGACCCTAGCGAACCGAACACCAATGTGCACAGGAAGAATCACCACCAACAGGGGGAAGATGGAGTAGAAGAAGTTGATGTCAGACCAGAACATCCTAGTGAGCACAGGGTAGCTGGGTCAGACACCCCAGCCGTAAAAAACAAACTCTGAAAAAAGTCTAAAAGCTGAAAGAAGCAATATCTCTGAGACTGGGAAGAGGAGTCAGGAAAGGCCACTAACAGCTGATGCTGACACTGCAGACAGCTGTCCTTTGAGACAGTACGAAAGGGAGTCACTTGACAGTGCAAGGGGGTTCTCCCAGCTTCCTGCAAATGACAGGAACTGCTGTCGGACAGCCCCTCAGAAGCCTGACAGTGACGTCTGCCTCCCGCTGCATGACAAACATCCAAAGTGGCCCATCCTGATGACAAGCATTCCTCAGTCACAGAGCATCGTGTTGCTTGAGAATGATCAAAGGGGACAGAAAACTGACAGTGACGGGAACTGTGCAAAGAGCACCAGTAAGCTGCTCAAATTACACAAAGTACCCGCAAAAAGCAGAACACGTGGCTTTCCAGCTGTGACTGAACTAGCTGTACCAGTGTCACCTTTCAGGAATAGCGAATGTGAAGTTCTAGAAGAGCTGGACAGTCACCTGTTCTCTAGTTGAGATCTAAGTCAGTAATCTTGTCTCCTAAGATCACTATGGTTAAACGTTGTCCTGCTGGAGAGTTCGGCAGTTAACTGCAGTGCACTTGGCTTCTAGATCTCCAGCATTCATCGGTATAACCATACAGGCCTAACATCCAAGCCATTTACAAGAATCTTCTGGGATAAGCAGATGTCTAGGGTGCTGTTCATGTATGTGGAGGTAGTTCATGTCACCTATTTATGTGACTTCTGGCAGGCAATAGATACTTTAGAAACACTGTACATATAACACTCCTTTAGTAGGTCCTGCTGCAGCCAATGCTTGTGCTTGTGTGCTACCCAGTGAATCCCATTTGGACTCTAACACCAGCCCACATTGCTGCAGGACCCACAAAAGCTTAAGGTTTTTTCAAGAAATACCAATCGCTAGACCAATGGCACACAAATAAGTGACATTTACTCCACTCCAGACATTTGGATATCCCAGAGTTGATATTTAACATCTAAGAACGCTTTCATGCAGCTGCAAGTTTTTGTACCTCTCATGTTCACCTCCGGATATTTTGGTTGCATTAATGAAGGCTGAAGCATAAACTACAAAATAGGGGCTTTTGTCTGATAACTTGCAATCATAACCAGAGGATGGACAAGAGAAGAATTCTTTTTGAGTCAGATTGCTTTAAAAAAATCTTTTTCTTCTTTTAATAGCTAACAATAGTATTACTTTCCATTCAGTCTTGGCATCTAGCCAAAGATCCATCCCAACAACACATCCTGCACTTCTTTGTATATTGGGTTATTACTAATATATTTTAGTGTTAGTTTGGTATTCCACTTTCTCTTGTTATGAGATCTTAGCAGTTTGTTTTTGTTACGTTTGTTGTTTCTATAGCAGATGTTGTAAACCAATGATGGTTTATAGGGAAAACAAAATCCTAGTCAACCTGAAGTATATTTTACAAGCATGCTATAGAACAAGAGTGTAGTATGTTCCAAGGCCAGTGAAAGGATCTCATATCTGTAAACAAGCACAATAAAAGTTTAAATAAAGTTATTTTGTCTGTGTGGTTTTATTTATTTAACATTTTCCTGAAGTTGTGTAGAAGAACGACTTTAGACTTCTGTTCAGGGGAATAAAACATACAGCTTAACTGGGAGTCTACCTCACTCTAAAGCAGAATGCCAGCCAAAAATAACAAGATAAAACATTGATAGCCCATTAAAAGATTTTAAAAAAAACAACAGCTTTTGCTGCAATCTTCACTTGCAATTCAGAGATTCTCCCTGTGGTACTTTGTTTTTGCTGCTAGATGTCCTCAGTCTGTTGGCCAACATCGTTGAACCCACTTTCTCTGAGCCCAGGTTATCCTTGACCTGTCCCAGCCTGTGACTGGGCAGTGATGGGCACACAGTGATAAGCTCATTTCTCTGTCACTTTGCTTTCTCTTCCTATCAGCATGCTCCTTGCCAGCTTATAAACCTAATTGGCTTCTTGTGCTGCTTTTGAGGCCAACCACAAGCAGTGAGCTCACATTATCACTGCACTCACTTCAGGGTTTTAAAAGATTTGTATCTCACAGAGAACAGCATGGTGGTAAGTGAAAATAACATATTTTACATACCTCATGCAGTCCTTTCTGATAATTGTGTTGCTGGAGTTCTCCTTTAATGCAAATCTTGTGCTACTGATTAAAGCTGTCATTGCTCTTACTAAGTGAAACTGGGTACAAGTCTCCTCCACACAATGCAATAAAAGCTTCCCTCATTAGGTAGTACAGTAGGAGCATGTTTAGGCTCTGAACTTCTCTCTTCTTTCCCCTGAGGGTAAGGAGAGGTAGGTACCTGGTACACAGAGGTGCGATGTTTCAAGATTCTAGTTGGAAAATTCAATTTTATTTTTCTTTAATATAAATTCGGAGCGACGTTCCAGCGCGACCTTTACCGTCAGGCTCCATTAAAAAAATAGAAAAACGGTGCAAAATCCGCCGAAAAAAGGGTCCTGCTAGAGCGACAGCGACATAGAGCTAAGACAGTTCTATTGAATAGCATTGGCCGGCGGCTTCTCGCGATATCGCGCTGCAAAAGTGCGCGATAAATCGCTTAGTGGGAATGGGGCCTAACTGGCTTATTCAGTGAGTAAGGCCCCATTCGCACTAAGCGACTTACCTTTTGCAGCGGGTCCGCGCGGCCAGGATAGCGCGACTTTCGGGGCGACAATCCAGCGACGGTACCGCAACCTCCACCGTCGGGCTCCATTAAAAAAATCGCGCAAAATCCGCCGAAAAAAGAGCGACAGCGACGGGCGACATGGAGCTAAGACAGCTCTATTGAATAGCATTGGCCGGCAACTTCTCACGATATCGCTCGGCAAAATGCACGATATCGCAGAGGAAATCGTGCGATAAATCGCTTAGTGGGAATGGGGCCTTAGTGTCCGGAGCAGGTGAAAGTCTGGTAACCCCCTGACATCCAATCAGATTGCTGTAATTATATTGGTGTGAGAGATGATATCCAGTGACTGTTGGCTACACATTACTACATTACTTACAGTGCTGAAAAACCTCAAGGCTTGTTAGAAGCTAAAATAACTGTTTGGGCACTAACAGACTAAAGCAGTAGAGACTGTTCACCTAGTTAAGGCTGGGTTCCCACCTAGGCGGTTTTCCACGCTTTCGTACTCGCGGAAAACCGCTCAAGCAGGGAAATGCCATTATTTTCAATGTGTATGGTTCCCATCTGTGCGGTTTTCCGCGAGTACGGACGCGCGGGAAACCGCCCTACGCACAAAGAAGTACATGTACTTCTTTGGGGCGTTTTGGTCTGGTGTTTCCATTGGGATACAGCCAAGTAGCCCTCGGAAACGCGTGTTTTTCACACGTTTTTTTACCGCGAAAAACGCGCATATTCAATACGCCTAGGTGTGAACCCGGCCTAAGTGAATGTTGGTGAATAACACAAAGCTGTGTTTACTTTCACTACCCAGTCATAAGTATTACAAATATTAAATATTGCTAAAAATATGAAAATGGAAATAATATAAAGGTCTTTTTTTCTAGGACTGTTGGGTTGATTGGATACCCAAGGTGAACACAGCTTCACTCCTTTAGTAAATCAACCCTGCTGTGTCAGTTGGAAAGTCTACCTGATGCCGATACAAAATGCTGGAGACTTTTTTTGATTCTTAGTAAAGTAATGGTGACTTCTGCTGGACTGGTGGCACTAAAACCCACTGGATTGATCTAAATCGTAACAGCAAAGACTGAATCAGTTCCTACACTAGACACAATGGTGCCATTTCTTGGCCTCTGCCTTCATGCTAAATGCTAAAACTGTTTAAATGAGCTGAGACTCCGCTGGCGTCTTATGTCATTTGGAGATTCTAGCTCTGTTCCTACCCACCTAGGAGCAGTAAAGCACAACCACCCCGTAGCACTTCAAAGCAGGAAGCAGAGTATACATAGGTACTGAACAAATATGGATGCTTCCATCTACACATATAATTACAAACTATATATAGAGGCAGGGGCGTAACTAGAAATCACAGGGCCCCATAGCAAAATTTTGTATGGGGCCCCGTGATTTCTAGTTATACCCCTTGCAGAGCCCACTCGAGATCCCACCACGTGGTGATTGTTACGCCACTGCATAGAGGCAATATAATAACACCCATTAAAAAGATGATTTATGCCAAACTGGTCTCTTTCATGTGTATGTCTTAGAAACATGAAAAGGACTATACATTCACTTTAAAACAGTTGCGGCCAATGGAAAAGCATCTAAAGGTCATAGAAGGCACAGTACATGCATTTCAGATGCAAATGCAATTATTTAACCACTACTTTCACAAGCAGTTGTCAACATCCTGATAAAAACATTTTATTTAACCATAGAAAATGCAAACATGTTACATTTTTAAAACATGTTAAGCAGTTTTAATGAATGTCTTACTAAAACATATGAGGGGTGCTTTTACTTGCATTACCTTGCAATTTTTGTAAACCTACAATACTTCACAGCGAGTCGGTTACTATGCTGCCTTTACTGGTATCAGCTGTCAGCCGGACTGCAATTATTTCTTTCTATTGTGAAGTGAAGGATAAGTGAACGCTAGCCAATGGAAAGGATCATAACAGAAAACCCAGGCAGAGCTTTTAAACCCACAGCCCGCTGTAAAAAACCAAAAAAAACACAACCCATCTTTTGTTTAAGTGTGTCAAATTTGTTGGGAAACAAGCCAATATGTCAAATCTGGTTCCTGGGGCCCTTCAGAATCTGGGTCATACTCAGCATGAACATCACTTAAATGGGCATTCTGACACTCCCCCTACCATCCTGAGTGAGCATTCCCATGATTTTTTGTGTATAGGCAAATCGTCTCTTTAGCACTAACCCCTTGCCATATAAACATACTGTATATTTGTGAAGACCTTCTTACTACACCGTAAAGACAATACTAAGTAGCGTAGTAGAGCTGTCCTGAGAGAGGTCGCTGTACGCATGACAGAAGAAACCTATTATTGACCTTGCAGGTATTGTGATGGGGTAGAGCATTGCGCCTTTACATTGGTGTACATAGAGTATGTGTCTAGTTTTAGGAAATCCTAAAGGGCTTATGAAGAAAAAAATGAAGTATAACTTTGATGAAAGCATTGCAAATAGGTATATGCGCAGCTAAAATGCGTATATATTATCATATAGTTGCCTGCAAAAGGTAATTGTGTAGTCCTCTAATCTAGACACTTGTGTCAGACAGCGTATCCATGTTGGTGCTATCACCTTTCTTCAGTACAGTAAAGCAAAACAGCTTGGTCACTGATCAACTCCTAGTTTGCTGACTGACCAATGAAGTAGCATTGTCACACAGATGAGGTCCTCCCTCTGCTCTGTTTTGGCAGCCGTACAGGTTGCTGATGCTAGACTGGCAGCACTATGCAATATAGCAGTGGCGTAACCAGAGTTATGGGCGCCCGGGGCAGAACATTTTTTTTCGCCCCCCCCCCCATATTATATAAACATCCACTAGAACAGTACCCCCCACACGCCACTGCAATATAGTAGAGGCTGTGTGGCTATCAGTGCTGGCTCTCCCTCTTCTAATCTTAGTCCTGCTGTGCAAAGTATTATATAAATAGATAATAAGGTAAATTCAGGTACTTTACTGTCTGCATTAAAACTTAATCATTGTTTTGATAAATACATCACTAGATAAGTCTTTTGCACCTGCCTGAAGTAGAGCTTTAAAGAAGAACTCCGGGCAAACAAAAAGTTACCCTTGCAGTGGTCCTACCCCACTTGAGCTTGGCTCTATCAAGGCTGCTAGACGGATTCTCGCAGCGTCTGCTCCCCTGGGCTCCAGTGTTCTAAGGACCGCTGACGCCATCACATTATATGCAGGTCGATGACCTACAATAGACGTGAGGACTCCAAGGGACATTTCCTAGCCAGAGCGGAGGGGAGAGAGAGGTGAACGCTGACCGTCGTGAGATCTAGGATCAGGTGAGTAATGCTGCTTTACTTGAGTCCCCTTGACAAAAGGAGCACTTTAACCTTGCAGTTCGGGGTAGCCCCACTGCAAGGGTAAGTTTTTTCTTTACCTGGAGTTCTTCTACAAATGACCTATATACACCTAAATATATATATATACACACACACACACATATACCTGTGGTACATTTTATCTCTAAACAAGAGCCCCTATCCCCTGCGAGTGATGTCCACCTTGACAAATACTTCCTTTCTTCCTCCATCCATCAATCTTCGCTGTGCGGCCCACAAGTGTGCTGCGGCCCAATTTATTCATATGGGCCGCAGGATGGATACAGTTAACCCATAGGAATGAATGGGACTATAGTGTGAAAGGACCCGGCAGGGACACCTTTGCTGGAAAGGCTGTACAGTGCCAGGCAGGGCCACACAGTGAAGATCAATGGTTCAAGAAAGAAGGTATTTTTTCAAGTGGACAACACTCAAGAGGTGGGGCAATTGACTAAAGGAAACTGAGATACAGTTGTCCCTCAAAGCGAACTTATGTTTTGCTAATTCAGAGCACGCAACAGGTACACTTTATTGCCCGCCCCACCAGCAGTACATATTCCCGCTTCTCTTTGATTCCACACTACTCCAGCCGGGAGTGATTACTGGGTACTTCCAGGGATGAGGGAGCACATGACTTCTCTTCTTCCCACATGTCAGTGCTGGTGCTTAGCAATTGGCCATTCAGCCAACCAGCTATGTCACATGGGTGTGGGAATATTGCTATTTGGATATATATTGCTTATATAGGAGTAAATTACTCCTTGCAGACACATGGAGCAATGGAGGGGTGAAGGGGAGGAAAGTATGTACGGCTAGTAAGACTGGTATTAAAGTGAACCTGTTGCCTTGGCATCCATGGGCAAATCACAGAATCACTTTAAAGAATGCATGGGGGGGGGGTATCAAAACTGGAGCAGACAGAATCCGAAGCAGTTGCCCAACCAATCGTGATCTCTCTTCAGTTTGCCCAGGTACAATTTGAAAATGAAAGAGAGAAGCTGATTGGCTGCAGTGCAAATCTGCTCCGGATTTTGTCTGCTCCAGTTTTGATAAATTCCCACCAATGTAATTATACTTTAAAAGCGTTTCCTCTTTAAGCGTGAGTCTGATCCACTGCCGAGTCTTCTCTCTAATTCCTTGATTGTGCTTAGGAGGTTTTCAATTTCTTTGGTCTTTTCTTCTTGCAAATGCTGCAGTTTCTGTGAGAAGAGAACCAGCTGTGAATAACTAACAGGCACTATAACCTTTTTTTCCATTCTACAAACTCTATGTTTTCGCTAATAATTAACCTGAACAATGCTACATGAAATGAGAGGTTTTATATTCTGTGATCCTTGAATTGTTAGAAATTCTGTTGTGCACACAAGAACACCTTCCATGACATGACAGCAAGGGCAAAGACACCTTCCATGACATTACAGCAAGGGCAAAGACACCTTCCATGACATGACAGCAAGGACAAAGACACCTTCCATGACATGACAGCAAGGACACCTTCCATGACATGACAGCAAGGACAAAGACACCTTCCATGACATGACAGCAAGGACAAAGACATCTTCCATGACATGACAGCAAGGACAAGGACACCTTCCATGACATGACAGCAAGGACAAAGACACCTTTCATGACATGACAGCAAGGACACAGACACCTTCCATGACATGACAGCAAGGACAAAGACACCTTCCATGACATGACAGCAAGATATGTTTTGTACCCATTCATAGTTGGAGAAAAGTGAGACATTGTACAGGACATAAAATATTAATTTCATGAAAAATATTGTATCCTGATAAATATTAGTTAGATAACTTAAACCAAATGTTTTATATATAGACGCATAAGACTCATTTTTACATTGTTATTTAAAGGATTATTAAACCCTTCGGTGTTTTTGCATATATTTACTGCTAGCAAGCAGTAGATATATGCAGGGCTGTAGCTACCACGGGGCGAATGAGGCACTGGCCTCAGGCGCAGCTGAGAGGGGGCGCAGCCAGGGCCGGTCTGGCTGCGCCCCCTTGTCCCTGTTGCCATTGCGAGCACAAGGCGCCATTGGCAACAGCGGCGCCAAGAGGCCAACACAGCCACGGCTTGGCAGGGAGAACAGGAGCAGCACAGGCTGTAGCTTTTCCTCGGATCCCACCTGTATGGGCAGAGGACTCTGTGTCCTCAATATTTTTTTCTATTTCAAAAGGGAAATGTCAGGGGTTTAGACCCCTAATATTTCCCCAAAGCCCTTCAACAGTGAAAATGTTTTAATAATCATTTAAGGTAAGTGCTTTAATTACCATTGGGGGAGGGAAAAATATTTTTGACTTTAATGTCACTTTAGCGATATATACTTTTTTAAAAAATAAATATCACATTTTTAAAACATTGTACTACTTAAAAAAATGTTTTTCTTTCTGTGTTTCTTTCTGAGGGCTGGAGCCTGGAGAGGTTCCTTTACTAACAAACATGAAATCACAATGTCATAGCTGTCATGTTGATAACATGATCAGGAAGTGAAACCAGACTGATTGGTTCTTGATCATTAGCTAACACAGGACAGTCTGACAGTGCACACTTGTGCGTTCTCCTAGCTATAAAAGGCAGCCCCGTGTCTGGGAACATTCATTTACGGATTGCAGATACCTGCTGGTTAACCAGCATATTTTTTCAAATTTTTTGTTTCTTTCACAATCTCATCTTCTTTGAGCCTCTAAAAAATCAAATGGTTTTAGGGAGACCTCCACTGAAAGAAACAAGTTGACATTCTTATGAATATTCCGGTTGCCTGCCTGTGTCTGGCTTCAACACAGAATAAACATGCAGCAAGTGAAGACAGAAGTCCTGATCTGCATATTTATTCATTTGTTACAGCTATTAATATAGCATCAACAATTTACACATCGCTTTACATAGTTGCACATTCACATCAGTCCCTGCACTCAAGGAGCTTACAATCTAAGGTCCCTATTCCAAATGCACACAATCAGGGAGAATATACCTTCCAGCATGTCTTTGGATTGTGGGAGGAAACCCACACAACCACTACACACTGTGTTGCCCACTTGTTTTGGACCAGTAGCTCAAAAATCACCTTGCCATACTATAGGACTGGGAGCAATGCAGATCACATCACTTCTGGTCCCATAGCTGTCATTGTTGGGCTCCTGAAGCCCAGCAATAAGCTATTGAAGTGCGATCTGCACTGCAATAGCTTATTTAAAGTAGAAAGGTTATACTAGGGGTCTTTTGGACCCCCAGTATCACCTTAAAGAGGACCTGTCCCTGACAATATGCTATCACATGTACACATAATGTACAGGGGGGCTTCTGATGTGAAGGGGGATTCTGATGTGAAGGGTAATCCTGATGTGGAGATGTGTAGGGGGCTCCTGATGTGAATGGGGGATTCTGATGTGAAAAGAAAACACCACTTGTTATCCTTCTGTTTTTTCTGACCTGGGATCTAGGGTTGCCACCTTTTTATCAAGTGAAACCCGAACGATCTAGGCTTGCTGGGGACCTCGGCAGCCTTCCTGTGAGCCGCGGGCCTGCACATCTCCTCTTCCATCTCCCTGACACCTGTCAAAATATTTAAAGTGTCCGGGTGTCAGCTGGCCTGAAACCTGTACACATGACTCAAAAACCGGACTGTCCGGGTGAATCCCGGACAGGTGGCAACCCTACTGGGATCCCCCACTTAAATTCATACCAGACCCCTGTCTAGGATAAAGGTTTGGTATTGATGTCATTTTTTACATTTACATTTTAGCCTGGGGTGCCTTAAGAATTTGCATACTTTTTAAAAGGTGCCCTGACTGGAGAAAGGTTTAGACATGTTGTGCTTTGTGTGTTGAGGGTGGATAGGGAGAGGCAGAGCAAGGTAAAACATGTAAATGGTATTTTGCATAAAATAGGTGATCCTAGCAGTGGGGTGTTGCTTTGGTTCTTCAGGCTTCGGAGAGGAAAATCCAGCCCTGCTTGACCATAATAACAAAATGTCTAAGTTTAATATCTGTATCATTGCAAATGGTGATTGTGTGTATCATACATGAAAACATGCCAGTAGAGGGTACTGTTGCCTACAAAGAGAAGCTTCAGCCTCTAAGAGAAGTCATTCTGCATGCATACAATAGACCTCAGTTCACCAAGCCTCAGGAGTTATTTCACCCGCACCCGTTATTTTATCACAAATTTTCTCATAAAAATTTTCAATTCACATGCATATAAAATTCCATAGGTTCAACATAAAAGAGCAGTCACCAACTTGCGCAACTGGATCGATTGTCTATGGACTGTATGTTAATAGTCTTAAAGGAGCTCCAGTTATACTGTTGGTTAATCCAGAGAAGATGTATGCACTGATCCTGCAGCCTGGTTAGTTGTATAGGGAAACATCCATGTAATAGCACTGTAAAAAGAACATAAAAACCAGATCTAAGTGCAGTATAAAGGTAACTGTTTTATAAATGTTAAAAGTAATGCACTTACAGGATATTTAAAAACATCTCGCCTGTCACACATCAGATGAAAGTCCGATCTCAGCTGCTGAGTGCTATCAGGATGAAAGGCACATGGAGAGAACCTCCTTTGTCAAGCCACACAGTCATGTATTTCTTCAATACAGCACAACAACTTAGAAGATTGCTTTCTTCAGTATAGAAATGATAAACTGTACCGTTTGCTTTCTTCAGCACAGAAAAGAATAACAATAGCCTCATTGGCTTGGATGGTTTCAGTGCACAAGGTGATCACCCTCTTAACCTTAGAGTTTCTCTTAGCCCACAGGCTCCCAGTAAAGTTCAGCTGTTTCATAGCACCAGTACCTTAGTCAGCTCCTCCGCCTTCGCCTTGTCTGCATACATTAATACATTAATCAGTGCTTCTCTCTCTCTCTCTCTCTCTGGCTTCCTATCCTTTTGAACACACTTCCTGCAGCAGGTGTTAACCCATTTCTGTCCCTTAAAGGGACCACAACCCGAACAAAGGGAAATATACACCTCTCCCAGGACCCATCTTCTGGGTATACAGACACACATTTAAAATCACTTAAAAATTCCCTGCAAGGCATGCCAATTTAGCTTATAATAATTCTAAATCTAATAATATTAACCTAATAATAATTGTTCCCAAAACCTATGGTGCCCCAGGCCAGCTCTAAGTATTTGAAAGAATATATTACTACTCTCCCAATACTTCTCTTTTTAGGATTCAAAGTCTGAGCCATAAATTCGGGGGAATTACTTTTGAATACTAATGCTGCAAAATTCGTTAAAATCGTCCATGCAGTAAATTCAGCTGATCCATAGGAAAAATCTGTCAGTAAACTGAAAAGATCATTTTCAGTTCTATAACTGAGCAAATAACACACAGGAATTAAAAAGGGAACGTGTTCTCCTATGTAAACTAACCCAATTTGCCCTCTAGAGGCCGCTACTTACAAGTGTAACATGACACTGCCAAAGCAGACTAAGTATATTGTCTTTCCTTTGTGTTGGATTAACCCCTTCATGACTGAGGCCCTTTTTTCAATTTTTGCACCCATGTTATATTCCACATTTTAGGCCTGAAAATGACGTAAAACCCCCCAACATTATATATTTAATTTTATCCAGTCAAACCTTTTGTTTTCTTTCAGAATGAGAACCCTTGTCAGGTTGTGCCACTGTTGGAGGCTCTATTAAAAAGATATCCCTTAAAGGAGAACTATGAGATGAGTGTTTTCCACTCACCTCATAGTTCTAGCCGACCTGTGACAATGAGACTGTCACAGGTCGGCTCAATAGATCGGGAGGTGGGCGAACACATACCGGGTTCGCTCACCTCTCGATCCTGTCACGGCTCCCTGCCGTGACAGGGGGAGGGGCTGGATTCCCCTCTCCCCGCTCCGATCTGCCAGCGCTGACTGGCAGAATGGATGGGGGAGGGGGCAGGTACAGCTGGCTCTGCCTCTAGATAGGCAGAGCCAGCTGTCAGTCACGCAGCTGGGCCCCAGTTATGCAGGCCAATAAGAAATATATATGGTAAAAATGATTAGTTAATTAGTTAAGAACTGATTTTCAAAATAGCAAAAAAGATAATTAGGGCATAAGATAAAGGTTTATTGCAGAATAACACTTTCGTTAGTTAAATAGAATCTTTTCATGGACATCTGTACATCCAGGGCCACCATTAGAAATCTTGGGGCCCCATAACCCCACCCAAGTAATGAGCAGGAGGAATAGAGCAGAGGTTCTCACCCTAAAGCTGCCCATACACCTGCCGATTATCACACGATAATCGCGGGTGATCCCGCGATTGTACGATAATCGGCAGGTGTATGGGCAGCGTGCGACCGCATCTACTGTACGGTGGCACAACTTTCGCCTTCCTAGCATGCTGGAAAACCTGCCGAAAATCATACGATTTTGGGCAGATCGGTAGTGTGCTCGGAAGACGAAAGCCGCACGGGCCGGTGTGCGCAAGCGCACGCTGCCCGCTTAGCATTGCAATCATCGGTAAGCCCTCCCCTCAAGTACGATCTGCCTGTCCAAGATGGGCAGGTCGTCCGAAATTTTAATGGCCTTACAACCATCGTACAACGAAAGTCGTGCGATGGTTGTAAGATGCATGGCCAGCTTTAGTGAGACCAAGGCCCTGTAGGTTTCTTCTAAAACCTTCCTTAAAGTGGAAGTGAAGTGGTCATTAAAAAATAGATCTTCAGAAGTGATTGCCATAATCAGCTAATATGCACAGCATATGTGCACATTATGGCTTACTTGCTGACAATGTTCTTCTACATTGCTGTCTGCTCTCCCCTCCGTCACTGGCACTGTCATACCATCTTCTCTCGGTCTTCTTCCGGGTTCTTTGATTGGCTGGCTGGCATGATGTAACTCCTGTGCATGGGAGTTACCTAATTGCAGCATGCTGGGTCTGTGCACTGAAAAACAATTGCTGTAAAGGTCCCCACACACCTTACGATAATCGTACGATAATCGCGGGAAATCCTGCATCGTACGATGTTCGGCGGGTTTGTGGCATGTCCGTACGATAAAAGCCGTACGGGCCGGTGTGCGCAAGCACACACTGCTTGTTCGGCATTGCGGTCATCGGAAGCCCGCCCCTCAGGGGGCGTGGCTTGCGATCATCGCAAGTACGATCTGCCTATGCAAGATAGGCAGATCGTACGTTTTTTTAAGTACCTTACAACCATCGCAAGACAAAAGTCTTGCGATGGCTGTAAGGTGTGTGCGCAGCCTTAGGCAGGTAGGAGCTTTTTTTGGTAGATGAGACTTTGCCATCACAACTTGGCCATTAGCAATTTTTTATAAGCTCATTTTACTGCATCCCCTGCATCCCTCTTCCCTCATTGCTCACCTCTGCATCCCTCTTCCTACACTGCTCACTTCTGCACCCGCTGCATCCCTCTTCCTACATTGCTCACCTCTGCATCCCTCTTCCAACACTGCTCACATCTGCATCCCTCTTCCAACACTGCTCACTTCTGCACCCCCTGCATCCCTATTCCTACTCTGCTCACCTCTGCATCCCCTGCATCCCTCTTCCTACACTGCTCACTCTTTGCACGTCTTTTGGCAGGGGGTGCAGAGGTGAGCAGTGTAGTAAGAGGGATGTAGAGCGTGGAGAAGTTAATAGTGTTGAAAGCAGGGACATGCGGTCAGGGGAGGCAGATCCTCACCTAGTATTATGGAGGAAAAAGCTGTCAGCTTCAAGTCTGAAGCTGACAGCTTTTTCTCCATTCAGATTGGCTTCTATCGGGTTACACAGCAGGGAAATCCTCCCCGCTGTGTAGCCTGTCATGGACAAAGCATTCCCTGTTAATTACAGGCAGCGATGTATCCGGCTTTTGACAGGTAGTTAGGTTGCACTGCAGCGGGCTTCCCCACTGCTTGTGTAACCTAACTATTGAGGAAAGAGCTGTCACAACCTCTACTTTTTGTTAGAGGCGTGAGCTCTGTGGATGGCTTGGACCAATGGCAAAGCACCATTGGTCCAAGCTGTCTAATCAAAAAAAGAAAAAAAACCCCCACTGAGGCCATTGATCTCGATGCCTCATCAGTGACGAGCAAGTGAGGGATAGGGAGGCTCCTCCCTGTCTCCTCTCTTCCTCCTTCACACTCCCTTGTTGGACCGGGTTGGGGGCGGGGCTTCGGCGGGGGCAGGACGTGCTGGGGGAGAGGCTGGGGAATGCCTAACCCGAAACTAGAGGTAGGGCACGTCACTGGTTGAAAGAGGGTAGCAGGCTTCCACCCTCTTCCAACACTATTAACTTCTGCATACTTCATCTTACACTGTTAACCTCCTTTCTTCTAAGTTGCTTACCCCTTCCATGCAGCTTACCTCAGGATGGGACTCCAGCTCCTGCTGGAGACACCAAGGACTGTGAACAGGGCAGGGGTGGAGACTAATAACGGTGTGGGTGTAGCCTATGCAAGAGCAGGCGGGACCCTGATTGGCCTGCCCAGGAAACAACTTCGCCCATTCGCCATGGTAATTAGTTCAAGGACAGGCTCCTCTCCTCCTTCCATGAAGGGGGCCCGGACACCTTTAGAGAAGGAGGGGAGGAGCCTGTCCATACATTGGTTACTGTGGCAAGTGGCCAGGACCATCCTCCTTCTCTATAGGCAGCCTGTACTGGTTCAGACCCCCCTGCTGACTTGCTGGGGGTGGCATACACCTCCTAAAATGTAACTATTTGTAACCCAGTAACTATTTGTAGCTCATCCGTGCATTAATTCCCTGCTGATCAGAGCAGCTTGGTACGGATCATCTCACCACTGTGACATCCATATCCGTCCAGTTTTTCCCTCCATCTTGCAATGGCAGAAAAGAACTTACCGGACCCATGTTGGTCAATAGGGAGTTGGATGTAAGCAGACATGTCGGTTTACATCAGATTACCCCCGATCCGCCATGATCAGGTCCGCCAAAATGGAACTCTGTCCCTTTTGGTGTTCCAGACCTGGACAGAGTCGTAGGTAATCAGATGTAAACGGTTGCACGTCCGTTTAGATCCGGCTGCCCATAGACTAACACTGGGCTTCCGATCAGAACCACCTGAAACATTCACCCAGAAGAGAAAAAATACTAAGAACATTAAATTTTTCCCTATTCTTCCTATTTTCCCTATTCTTCCTATTTTCCCTATTCTCAAAACAGCTGGCTTATTCACACATAACGAATGTACATGCAGTGTCACTGGACAGGTAGCTTGGCAAATTTTTTATAAATAGACCCCATGGTTTTACCTACATCAAAAACTCATGTTACCCCGTAGGACCTAAAATATGTGGAATATTGACCGTAAGATAAGTCAGTTGAATGAAAAGCTGATGTTATCATTGTTTGAAGTACATTCTGTATATTTTACATTCGTGTTGTTGAAACGTATCTGACAGCGCAGTGAAGCAGCAGGAATTTTGTTTTTGGTGCAGAATGTTTTAATTAAGTATGGTATTGTTATTCATTGAGACCAGGGAGGCACAGCTAGAACAAAAGAAACTGAAGAACGCAGTGCTCATGGAGCCGTCATACTTTGCACAGCTGGATATGGTTTTCCTTCTCCACCACCATATCGTCCTGAGGTGGATAGTTTTAGCAAAAACACTTTTTTTTAAATTAATAAACGGTGAACAAAGTTAAACTAAGCTAAAATTCCATGCATCTATAAATTATAAAAAATTACCACCCAACAATTTTAAAATACCTGTCAGTAAAGTTAAGTATAATAATGATCCCCGGAGCATTAATATGACCCTCGGCAATTAATTGGACCTCCATCCAGCAGGCCATCAAATCTCAGTATAACCGCAGTGTCGCGGCAAGCCCTCAGTCAGTGACCCCTCACACTGGCACATCCCATCACAACTCTTTTTTAAAGTGACACTCTGAATTGGTGCTGGCCCTGCCCTTCCTTCTAGGGGGTGGCTATTTTTGTTCCCCATGGTCCCTATGTGTGTTGTAAAGTAGCCACTGCTCCGAGCTTGCTCCCCGATGGACTACAGTCTCACGTTTAGTTTACTAATTTGTATAGAGATTGTAATCCATCACTGGAGCGAGCTTGGGGTGGTGGCTACTTTACAACACACACAGCGACCATGGGGAACAAAAGTAGCCCCCCTCCAGAAGGAAGGACAGTGTCAGCACCAATTCAGAGATGATTTCAGGATCTACAGCCGAGTGATACACAAATAAGATACATTTTTGTATCTTGAATTCATTTCTAAGATTTAACTCCTGAGTTTAGGGTCACTTTAAGTATAATAATGACCCCCGGGCATTATTTGATCCTCAGCAAAATAATTGGACCCTCATCCAGCAGGTCATCGACTCTCACAATGATCCCAATGTCACAGCAAGCCTTCAGTCAGTACCCCTGCACACTGGGAAATCCCATCACAACTTTTATTATAAACTCAATGATAAGTATAGTGCATCAGAGAAAATCCTACTGTGTGGTATGCTCAACCCCTTGTGACTCAAGTTGAGCCACCCATACTTACCTTCTCTGTAAACTAACGCTGCTCCCTCCACCATCGCAGCCAGTGCAAAATCTCTGGCATTTCAAGGTATGGGAAAGCATGTGAACTACTCTTATGATACAGTGGTCAGACATGGTGGCCAATCAGCAGACCAAACCACTGTCACATGATAATTAAATGACATTATCAATCCTGTGTAAGCTCCATCTGAGCTCACATTGAATATTTTGTAGCAGCTGTGATCGAGGAAGTAGCTGAGGGGAATTACAGATTCACAGCAAAGAGTCTCATAACATTTCTGTAGAGAAGGAGGAAAGAATGATATTGGCATTGAAAGCCTGAACTGGTATATCTGAACTGATATGCAGGTTATTAATAAAGCAGGAACAATCTAAAGTGAAACCAATATTGTTTGTTGACTTAAATATAAGTATAATCCAGTTAATTATGAGTTAACCTATCAGGTAACCCACTCAGGTTCTCTATGCAGAAGACGGGTTAGGATAATATTACCATTCTGTAGATGTTCTGTGATAAGGTGCCTGTTTCTTGGTGAGATTTGTTATTTCTGTTTTGTATTCTTGCCAGCTTGGCATTAAACTGAAAGAAAAAAAAACACAGCCTATAATGTGTATATATACATATATATGACCATATTCACAAAAAGAAAAAAGCTCTTCCGTTCATATATAACACAAGTTTGATGGTTTTGTTTATAAGGGCCAATGTACATAAGCCTATGAGGTCAGGAAGGGGTAGGGTAGCCAGCCTTTGTTCATCTACATTTGATTTGAGCTGGATGCTTGCTTTGACTGCAGGTCTGAAGATTCCAGTTTTCTTTGTGTAGTGTGGATGACCATTCTGAGGCTTTATTTCACCTGCTTTGCTTTGTGCTTATTTGGACACAACCAGTTCTATTTAGATTTATTTCTCTTACCTCAGACGTTTAGATTAAATACAATCCCTGTAAATGCACTTTTGCTGGGAGTTTCAGGCTAAATGCTATTCAGAAGCATATATTGCATTTGCCTGAACCCCCATGCTCAGTGATTGAACAATACAAGCCCCCCAAGGTCAGTTTGACATCAGTTTCTGCTATGATTTTATTGCTTTACACATGTTTATGTAAATGCTTGGTAAACTCAAGGTGATAACATAGAGGTTTATTCACAAAGCTAGCTGAAGGATCAGCCGTAGCTCCGGCTGATCCTTTGGCTAGCTTCGGCCCCTGGAGCCCTTCTGTTCAGTGGAACCGAAGGGCTGCTGTACGGGCTATTCACTATAGCCTGGCCAGCTCCCGAAGCTGGCCGAGCGGAAGTGACACCCGAACCGGGCCGAACGAACGGCCATTGGCCAGCCGAAAGTGTTGCAACTGACAGCAGGGTGGAGCCAGCCGTGATCTCACGGCTGGCTCCGCCCAGTTGCAATGACAGATCAGTGTCCCCAGGTTACTCGGGGACGCTGAACTGTTATTAAACAATGACAACTGGTTGTCATTTGTTAACAGTTGTTATTCATTGGCCAGGACCTGCTAGAAGACTCTAGCAGGCCCCGGCCAATAGGAAACAGTTGGGCATAGCTAGCTGTCACTGCTAGCTCCGCCCAATTGTTTTCTAAATTAATGTATTTTTCTTTTTTAAAGGAATCTTTATTTATTTTTTTTGATTTATCCTTTATTTACATTTTTAAACATTTTTCACAGATTTTCTATTCTGCTCAGTACCACAGAGGTACCCGTAAGAATAGCTGAGCCGAATGCTGCTCGGCGGCATTCGGCTATTCACTCATCGCCGATCGGCCCCTATGTGAATAGGGGTGAACAGCAGCGAGTGAGCTGCCGGAGCTTCGGCTTAGCCGATCCAGATGTTGGATTGGCTGAGTCGACCTTCTTCCGCACTTCGGCTCAGCCGAACATGCTGAGCATGTTTGGCTGAACCGAAGCCAGCCGAAGCAAGCCGATGTACGGCTGATTTCAGCCGATGTACTGTTGAAATCGGCCGTACAAGCCAGAAGTGAACAGCCAAACAGCGTTTGGCTCACTTCACTTCTAATGGGTTATTCACTCGGCTGCCTTCGGGAGCTTTGTAAATAACCCTCCTAGTAAACTCATCTCAAATGCATCTCAATAATCCATGTATACTAGCCCTTACAGTGTCTTACCCGAAGCAGCCAATCAGAGTTAAGAATGTCATTTCTGCCATTTCCCTTTGTAGATTTGAATAATTGGTTCCTACGAAGCAAACTGGATCTTCCTTATGAGAGGCAGGTTAATAAAGCAAACCCACTGTGAAAATAAATGGCTTCCCAGCCTTTCAGGAGTCTCATTGGCCTGAGGGAAATCAGCAAAACCCAGAAGACTATTGTGTTTGGACACTAATGGCTTCTAATAATTTCTCTCTACAGATTGTATGTAGCACAAAGCTAACATAGAACTCGGCAACACTGGATTTTCTCCAACCTGGGAAGGAGAAGATAATGGACTGGGACTGGGCTTTTCAGAAGTCTTTAAAGCTGATAAATGCATACAATACCTTCCCTGGTCCCTTTTGCCAGAATCACATGCAATAAAAGTGTTTCCAATTTAATCTTTTTTTTTCTTCTAGAAAAGCCTCATTTGAGACCCAGTGTCATCATCACTGGGTCTTTCTGCTGGTCTTTGCTCATAATTCAGTGGGAGGGGCCAGCAGCAGCATGTTAACATCACAGCAACCTGCCTCAGATCTCATTTCACAAAATGTGATGTGAAAGAACACATCTCCGGGATGCCTTTAGATGTGCATGTTCCTCCCACTTAGCCACTGGATGCTGTAAACGTCAACTGTGCAATCTGCTGATCAGTTGCTTTACTTGTAATCAAGCTACTGATCAGCAGATTGCACAACTAAAGTCTGCACCATCCAGGGAGCATGCACATCTAAAATGATGCAGGGGATGTGTTATAGTGCACAGCCAGCTTAACATATAATCTCTGCAGTTGATCTGTGACATCTTACTAACCGAAATCAATACTGTGTCATTGTTGCTAAGATATTATCTCAGCAATTAGCGATCAGGAATAGAGCTGCAGCTAACGATTATTTTCAAAATCGATTAGTTAGCCGATTATTGAGTTTGATTAATCAGATTTTTAAAAAAATGGCTCCAGTGATGGACTACTTGCTTGTATTGAGATTGTAGTCCATCACAGGAGCAAGCTTATAGCTGTGGAAGTTAAAAAAAAAAAAAAGTGTGGTGTGCAATATAGTAAAATGGAAAGTGTAAAATTATACAACAATCAATGCAGAATGGCACCGACTATAGAAGACTACAAATCCCAGTACATTATAGCTGGCGGTATTCCTCATTGGGCTGCATAATGTATTATTGATGGGATTTGTAGTTCTCTATACAGCGCAATGCAGAATTCCACCAGCTATAAAGGAGTACAACAAATCCCAGCAATACATTATACATAAAGTGTATAATGTATTGCTGGGATTTGTATTCATCTATAGCTGATGGTACATTGCTCTGTATAATATACAGCGCAATGTACCATCAGCTATAGAGGAATACAAATCCCACTATCCGAGCAACACATTATAGAGCACCATGTGTGGGAAAGTGCAGGCTTAGCTGAGCAGTCTTCCAGCAACTTGCTTCTGAGATTGGGCGGCTGTCATCCCCCCACGCCTGCTCCTCACTTCTTCTTCTTCTGGATGTGGATGTGGGCGGGCAGGTCTGGGAGCGGCGAGCATGATGCGATGAGGAGGTGCGGCACGCGGCGTGTGGAGTGTGGGTAGGTCTGGCAGCGGCTAGCGTGAGGCGGGGAGGAGATGCGAAGGGCGGCGCGCGGCATGCGTGGAGCCACGAACAGAGCCAACTTATCAAAAGCCGATTAATCGACAATTGAAAACGTTAACAACTTTTTCCATCATCGATTATAATCGACTTAGTTGTTGCAGCTCTAATCAGGAACATTAAGTGATTGCAATGAAATACCAGTAGTCACTAGATGCCTTCCCTGGAAACAAATTGTTTTCCTGTTCTGGGTCAAAAGCTAACACCCTAAGCTGCTCTACCTGTTAAAGAGAGTAAAAGTGTCAATCAACAATGTTTTTAGTTTTCTTTCAAAGAATCATGACAGCACTTCTTACAGGACAGTTTTTGGACTGGAGTGTCTGTTAATAGCATAGAGCTCATGCAATAGATAAGACAACCTTTAGGCTAGGTTCACACCTAGGCAATTTATCACGTGAATGGATTCGCGCGATATCACGCAAAACACAGATTAGCATTGAAGTCAATGGAGACAGTATAATACATATTCAGTCAAATAAATCTGACTTCCAATGTGTGCAATTCCAATGAGTATAATGGCTGATTAATACCTCTATTTGCTGTCTGATCAGCTCACTTTGCTTTTCTTTCTCTTGAGTTTGCAATTGTCGGTTTAGCGCAGATATTTCCATCTCCTTCTTAGAAAGCAGGTTCCTTTTTTCCTCTTCTTTAAGCAATACTATTTATTTATGAAATGTAGAATTGACATTACGAACACAAACTGACTTACAGTTAAATAAACCTAAAAAAGCCATCTCTTCCTAAACTAAATGCATCATTGGTGTCACAGAACTAACAGTATTTGAAAAGACACAGATGGCCCAGACTTGAAAAGTATGTTTTTAGGGCCATATTAAGAACACTGGGATAGTACTATGAGAACTTAAATTGGAACTCCAGGCACAGACTGTGAAGCATTTACAGAATACAAGGTGTTCTGTAAATGGACAAGAGGAGAGGAGGGGCGGATAAACTGCACTATTGCGTTCCACTTTAAAGAGGAACTTTACCCATATCTTTGCAATGGCAACAAAGTCACCTTTAGAAATGTTTAGTAATGACAATCTACAAACAGATGCATAGAGAACATTGCAGGTGTATTATTCTTTGCATACCTTATTTTTCTTTTCCTCCCCATTCTTCTCACAGGGGCTATTTTTACTAAGGGCAGATTACTAAGGATGCACCGATACCGGTTTTTCCGTATTGAGTACAAGCAGGGCCGGCCTTAGGAGTGTGCGAGCCGTGCGGCCACACAGGGCGCCATGGCAACAAGGGTGCCGTGCGGCCGTCACAGCTCAATACAAGTACGGATATTGTTTTCTCTGGTACTCACCGATACCGAGCACCAATACTGGTGCTGAGTGCCCCAGATTATCAGGAAGTCGGGCAGTGGATTGTAACCCGCCATCCGGCTTCCTGATTGCCTGTGTAGCCAGTGTTCTTGTGACAGAACACCGGCTTCACTTGCTGAGGCTGCCTGACCAGTCAGGAAGCCGGATGGTGGGTCATAAGGTGCCATGCGGCTTCCTGATTGGTCAGGAAGCCAGGCTGCCTACCAACAAGTAAAGACGGCTTCCTAGTCAATCAGGAAGCCGGGCAGCATGTCATGACCCGCCTCCCGGCTTCCTGATTGGCTAGGAAGCTAGTTTCACTTGTTGCTAGGCAGCGTGGCTTCCTGACCAATCAGAAAGCTAGGACACGATTCATGATGTGCCGCCCAGCTTCTTGATTGGTTAGTAAGCCAGGCTGCCTACCAACAATTGAAGCTGACTTCCTAGCCAATCAGGAAGTCAGGCGGCATGTCATGACCCGCCTCCTGGGCTTCCTGATTGGCTAGGAATCCGGCTTCATTTGTTCCTAGGTAGCCTGGCTTCCTGACAAATCAGGAAGCCGGGAGGTGGGTCATTACGTGCAGCCCGGCTTTCTGATTGGTTAGGAAGCCAGGTTGCCTAGCAACAAGTGAAGCCGGCTTCTATGCCAATCAGGAAGCCGGGAGGAAAATGCCTTTCCCTCTGATCTTCTGATATTACAGATGAGGGTTTCCCAGCAATCACTGCTGAAGTAACCCTCCCAGTATGCAACTCTTGGGCACAGGCTGCATGAATAATGCCCAAGAGGACCAGGAAGTGGAAAAAACAGTAACTGCAGGTAAAAGACAACTATGTTTGTTTTACTAATGAATGTAAGATGATTTCATATCAGCATGCAGAGCTGTATGCTGAGGTGATTTTTAGTGATAGGGGGGGGGGGTAAAGGTCTGCTTTAAGAGCCACAGCTCTGATAGCCACAGCACCAGCTGTAGTATCTGACATACAGTATACAAATGTATGAAGTACACAGTAAATGGAAGTTATGCCAACAGCTAAAACACCTGCCCAGAGTTAACTTTTGTAACACTTTAGAATTTAGAAGAATGTCTGGAGTTCCGCTTTAAGACCACACTATGGACCCTAGGGACAATGTGACACAAAGCTGGTCAAACACAGCCAGATTAAAATTTACCAACAGCTGTGTAGTGCAAGAGCCTACCAACTGAATTCATTTAAACTGTATACATGCATGTAGACAAATGTAAAATGTTACTGATCAGGAAACAGATTCATCAGCAAAACCGGAAAAAAGGTCTGGGTGTAAAAACAAATGTTAATCCAATCATTAAAATGTCATGCAAGCTTAACACGTTAATATAGGTTCAAATGTGATGTAAAATCTTTGTGAATCTGCAGCTTTCATTAAAATAATACCATAAGGTTCTAATTCAGGAAGCTCCTCTTAGATTGTGACAATGCTCTGCCCCGTCTCCCAATTGTTGTCCTACATTGTCAGCTTGTCACATGAACTCCATCAGGAAACCCACCCTAAGTAACGATGTGCTGCCACTGCTGGAGTAGACAGGAAGTGGTTGCACAAAGACTGGAGGTGATTAGCAGAATTCAGATGCAAAAATAGTATGAGAAAGGAGCAAACACATTATTTTATAAAACTAACATGACATGGTGTAACACAATACTTTAGCAAACAAAATGTCATCTAATTTGGTATTATGTGCAATTTGATGTTTAACAGAGTTCAGAGTAGAACTCCATGTTCCAGTGCTGCCCCTGATTTCCTCCTCGGTCCAGAGCAGGCATTTCCTTTGAGGTTAGCCAGTTGTATATGCAGGCAGTACTCCCTCACAAGGTTAAGGTGAGTGGCTGGGGGCTGTCGAAATTCTGGAGTGCAGAAGGGCAGTGGTTACTACTTTCCCACGTTCATACCCTTCAGCACAGCAGACACTTAAAATAAAATGCAGAATTTTAAGTGAAATTGCACGTTGCCCATGCAGGCAATAGTAGCACATTTACTTAACTGCTGCTCTCCCCAAGCTTTATGTACTCACCATTCTTTCCATTCACATCCGCCCACATTTATTTATTTATTATAGGTATTAATATGCCGCCAACAATTTACGCAGCACATTCACATCAGTCCCTGCCCTCAAAGAGCTTACAATCTAAGGTCCCTATCTCACATACAATTTAGACAGGAGCCAATTAACCTTCTAGCATGTCTTTGGAGTGTGGGAGGAAACCAGAGTACCAGGAGGCACAGGGAGAACATGCAAACTCCTTGCTTAGCTGCCCAAAGCAAAATGACATGCTAGGTCAATTTTTCGTTCGGAGATCTACTTTTCAAATGACGAGCTCAATGAGATCTACCAACGAAAAAAAACACCTGCATTTGGGGGGGAGCATGGCAGATCATTGAAGTCAATGGCACCGTAGCCATGCCCCTTACCCACAGTGCGATCGCCCGCACCCGGAATGCAGGCACATTAGTGCCTGCGTTCGGGTCCAGTGCGATCTGCAAAAATGCTGCAAGCACTATTTTTGCAGATTGCACTGGACCGGAATGCCGGCAGGCGATCACACAGTGGGCGGGGGGCATGGCTGCGTTGCCATTGACTTCAATACAACCCCACGCCCCTCCTGCCCCTGAACGCAGGGAGTCGGCTGGCTTGCATTCCAGTGCGTTCTAGAGGCGCCGGCGTCCTGTCCTCCGGCGGTGCGTGTGTGGCCGAATGTGGCCGACGTTGCACACGGGGAGAGGTGTCCTGCCCCTTTCCGTCTGCAGCATCTAACACATTCAGCCGGCAGCCACATGAGCACCGCGGGAGCATAGCCGTAACTAGCTCCTTTTGCGCCCAAGGCAAGAAAAAAACGTGCCCCCCCCAACAGGTGTGTGATCACCCAGCACCCTGCCTCCAGGATTTATTTATTTTTTACTAAACAGAAAATATTTACTATCAAGCAGTTTCAAAATGGGGAGGAGCCCCTGTACAGAGTGCTACTCCCCATTGAGAATCTTATGAATTAACAGGAAGTGATGTAAATCACATCCTGTTCATTCATAACTGAGGACACATAGTACTATGTGTCCCCAGTTATTTACAAACACTGGAGTAATCAGCTGATCGCTCCAGTGTTTGTCCTGCACAGAGGAATGGTACATATTAGGGCTGTTCAAATTAACAATTAATTTCTCGATTAATCGCTAATCTTTTTGATCGATTAAATTTTTTTTGATCGCTAATGAAAATACTCACCTCTCCGCCGGCTTCCGGGAGTCCTGTCAGAGATGCCGTGACGTCACGGACATCGATGTTACCGGACACACCCCATTCCCCAAGTGGCTCCATCGGCTAACTAAGGGAAGGGAGGAGGAGTCCGGTGACGTCGATGTCCCCAAGTGGCTCCGTCAGCTAACGAAGGGAAGGGTGGAGGAGTCCGGTGACGTCGATGTCCCCAAGTGGCTCCGTCGGCTAACGAAGGGAAGGAGTCCGGTGACGTTGATGTCCCCAAGGGGCTCTGTCGGCTAACGAAGGGAAGGGGGAGGAGTCTGGTGACGTTGATGTCCGTAACGTCACCGGACTCCTCCCCCTTCCCTTCGTTAGCCGACGGAGCCACTTGGGCCGGTGAGTTTGCCCAAGAAACTTTCTGCACGAGCGCCAGCCAAGGCATTGGCCTATACACATACAGCACAGCAACGAAGTAATAAAATGAACTAGGATCACACTAATCCAGCACGTTATTATTCTGAGTTGCCCCACTCAAGTGGCAGCCATATTGAGTGGGGCACATGAGATTAATAACGTGCTGGATTAGTGTGATCCTAGTGCGTTATAATTAATTGAAATTAATCGATTAATCGATGTAAAAAAATTTCGATTAATCGAACACAAAAATTTAACCAGTAACAGCCCTAGTACATATCATTGATATGTACTGATCCTCTGCCGCTCGGCCACGCACACAGGGGGGCTCAGCTTCTCCTCTGGATCTCCGCTGCTCTCCCGGGCAGGGGCTGCGGGGGATCCGAGGAGAAGTGAGGAAAGCACTTCAGCCGCGGGGAGGAGGAGGGCATTCGGATGGAACCGCTGTCACAGCAGTATGTGCGGTGAGGAGAGAGAGAGCCGCTGGCTGTCAGATCCAGGCCGAGATTCTCTCTCTCCTCACCGCTCGGCGTGTTGCTGTGATAGCGCCACTGCATCGCTTCGTTCACTTCTCGGATCCCCGCTGCATACAGATGGGGGAAGGCAGCGGGGATCCAGAGAAGCCCCACGGCAGGAGGACAGGACATCGCGATCTACCAGGGATCGCTTTGCGATCGACTGGTAGATTGCAATCGACCTTATGTGCACCCCTGTACTAGGTATTGGGTGGAGCATGTGAATCACTTCTCTTCCTCCCACATGGAAGCACTGGTGTTTTCCCTCCACCACCACATGAAGACAGAGAGAAAATCCCAAATGGAATAGAGAGGGAGTGAAGAGAATGTGAGTAACAGCAGGTGGGGAGGGCAGCAATTTTGTAAACTTTGCCCTACATTGGCATGTAAGCAAATTATTAGGAAATTTTGGCAGCTTTAGAAAATAATAGGTGGCTAAATGGTGTGGAGTAAATTGTATGTGTCATATTTTTTGTCAGTCAAAGCAGGGTTGTCCTGTAAATGAAAATCTGTCTATGTCGGCCTGGAGTTCCACTCTTAGTACACGTCTGCTAAATGCTGTGAAACTCACATTGGGACTCCACCTCACAACACTTCTTCTCCATCTGTGCCTTGAACTCTTCCTCCTTGGCTCTCATGTCTTTTGTTAACAGCTCAATCTTGTTCTTGTTTTCCTAAAGGAAATACATATAATTAAAAGGTAACTCTGCAGGAATCAAAAAGTACAAAAAGTTATTAAAGTTTATAAAATCAACAAACATTTCCTTTCTTTGCAAATGTAGACAATGCGGCTCATACGTTTACTGTGTATGTACACATTTCAGTTTTGGATAGCGTAGGGAAGGTTAAAACCCTTGTCAAATCATTTTTTGTCTCTCTGGGGAGATTTTACCTTCTATCCTTGAGATACAACAGGATATGGGAAGACATCTCTCTAAAGTGAACGTAAATTCCCATCTTAGAGAGCCGTCATAGAAATTACATAGTTACATAGTATTTGAGGTTGAATAAAGACATTAGTCCATCAAGTCCAACCTATTAGGATCTCATTCTAGAGTCCCAGTTGGAGGATTTTCCCTCATTTCTTGTTCTGGTGACAGCTCTAAAATTCTGGATTTCCTATTTCTGTCTCAGTGAAAAGTGGCGAATCTCCTTAGTGGTGACACATATAACTATAAAAACCAGAAAGGGGTCTAACCCTTTCCCTACTGTATGCAATCCATAACATAAATATGCCTATACATTTACTCTAATATGCTAATATGTTGTCGTAATAATAATAATAATAATAGTAATCTGACATCCTAAAGAAAACCTTTTTTTATCCCCCTGACTAATAGTCATAGCAAAACCATGCATTATAAGAATGGAGTATATTCTGGTTAAGACCTGGTCAGGTATGGTATGCCGTGTCCAGAAACAATTGTGCAGGCCAGTCAAGTTCCTCCACCCCAAGACAGAGAAGCGTGATTCTTTACTCCAGAGCAAAACAAACGACAAACGCACTCAACAATTTGTTACCAGTTATACAGTAAGGTGCACACGAAATGGGCTTTGAACAGTAGAACAGTAGAAAGGCATCATGGCACACTCACAAACCAGCATGTAAAACAATATGTCTCACCACTAAGAATAATGACAGAGGTTTGGATACACGTCTTCTGCAGAGGATGTGAAAGCCGCACTGCCGCGCCAAGGCACCTCTTATAGTGCGGTCCTAACTCTAAACTATGAGAGTCTCCATCTTGGAGCACATGGGGGATGTGCGGGATCCCTTGTGTGTTTCTGTGCCTTTAAGGAGGTTGGGCGCTTCAGCATGCTCTGTCATTTTACGTGGTCTACCACTTTGTGGCTGAGTTGCTGTTGTTCCTAGTTGCTTCCACTTTGTTATAATACTACTAACAGATGACCGTGGAATATTTAGTAGCAAGGAAATTTCACGGAACACCTGAATCCAATGATTTGGAGGGCTGTCCCAATACTTTTGGCAATATAGTGTATATGTGGTGGTATAGAAACACTACATACTAAGTCCAGTATATACAGTACAGTTAGGTCTGGAAACAATTGGACACTGACACAAGTTTTGTTATTTTGGCTGTTTATCAAAATAAATTCAAGTTACAGTTAAATAAAGATTCTGGGCTTAAAGTGCAGTCTCTCAGCTTCCTCCATATTGGAGGAAGGGTTTAGGAATTACAGCTCTTTAATATGTAGCCCCCTCTTTATCAAGGGACCAAAAGTAATTGGACAATTGACTCAAAAGCTCTTTTCCTTTATTATTTCATCATCAATTAATCAGGTAAAAGGTCTCAAGTTGATTCCAGGTCTGGCATTCGCATTTGGAAGCTGTTGCTTTGAACTCACAACATGCTTTCAGAGAAGATCTGAATGCAAGTGAAACAGGCCATCCTCCCCAATAGAGAGATAGAAGAAACATTAGGGGTGGCCAAATCAACAGTTTGGTACATTCTGTAAAAAAACAAACACACTGATGAGCTCTTCAACACAAAAAGTCCTGGACGTCCACGGAAAACAACAGTGGTAGATGATCGCAGGATCCATGGTTCCATGGTAAAGGAAAACACTGTCACAACAACCAGCCCAGTGAACAACACTCACCAGAAGGTAGGTATACCATCATCCAAGTCTACCATAAAGAGAAGACTTCATGAGAGCACATACATAGTGTTCGCCACAAGGTGCAAACCATTCATAAGCCTCAAGAATAGAAAGGCCACATTAGACTTTGCCAAAAAATATCTAAAAAAGCCAGGCCAGTTCAGGAAGAGCATTCTTTGAGCAGATGAAGATCAACCTGTACCAGAATGATGGGAAGAAAAAAGTATGGAGAAAGCTTGGAACGGCTCATGATCCGAAGCATACCACTTCATCTATAAAACACAGTGGAAGCAGTGTGATGGCATGGCCATGCATGGCTTCCATCGGCATTGGGTCACTAGTGTTTATTGATGATGTGACAGAAGACAGAAGCAGTCCGATGAATTCTGAAGTGTGTATGGATATATTGTCTGCTCATATTCAGCCAAATTCAGCGAAGTTGATTGGATAGTGTTTCACTTTACAGATGGACAATGACCCAAAACATACTGCGAAACCAACCCAGGAGTTATTTTAAGGCAAACAAGTGGAACATTCTGCAATGGCCGAGTCAATCACGTGATCTCAACCTGATCGATCATGACTTTCACTTGCTGAAGACAAAAATGAAGGCAGAAAGACGCACAAACAAACAACAACTGAAGACAGTTGCAGTAAAGGCCTGGCAAAGCATCACAAAGGAGGAAACCCAGAATTTAGTGTTCCAGCATGCATTCCAGACTTCAAGCAGTCATTGCCTGCAAAGGATTCTCGACAATGTATTAAAAATTAACATTTTATTTATGATTGTGTTTATTTGTCCAATTATATTTGAGCCCCTGAAATTAGTGGTTGCAGTTCCTAAACGTTTCATATGATAATTTTGTTCAACCCCTTGAATTAAAGATAAAAGTCAGCACTTCCCTTGCATCTCGGCTGTTTAATTTCAAATCCATTGTGATGGCGTACAGAACCAGAATCATGAAAATTCTGTCAGTGTCCAAGTGTTTCCAGTCCTAACTGTATTTGTTCTTGAGGTGGGCCTCCTGTTAGAAATCCTTCCCAGCTCCTAAAAGTCTTTTATAATAAATTAGAAACCATTATATACATGTTCTAGAAAAAATACATATGTAAAATCTTTTCCTATGTGTCTTCCGAGAATTCACTAAATAAATAACATTTTCATCACGACTAACAATCCTATCACATACTCCCACTCAGACTGTATAGCATGAATTGCTTGTGGAATATGCAGTGGTGAAGGTCAGATCTGCACACATACTTCTACTGACTAACAGCAAACATGAAGATAATACAATTTACTTTTCACATTCCAGACTCAAGGATACATTCTATATCTTCAGAAGTGGATGTATTTTTACATTCTATAAAGTAGACTTACATGTAGAAAACAGAACAAGGGAGGCAAACTCCGTCCCTGCAGCTGTGCTGCAACTACAAATCCCATTATACTTTGCAAGACCCTGATTCCCAGAGGCAGATGCATGATGGGATTTTTTAGTTTCACCACAGCTGGAGGTCTGGTGTTTGCCTACTCTGGTATATATATTGCGAACCTGGGCAAACAAGTCACGAACAAATGCACAGAAGTTGTAGCTGAATTTCTAGCAAAGCATTAGTTTTTATGTAAAAGTCATGCTTTTCCCTACCCACCAGCATCCCATCTGTGCCTATTCTTCCTATTAGTAAGTAAGGTTGCCTATCACCTTATAGGTCAAATGTGTCCATCACAAGGCCCAAGGGCAGAATCCGGCCTGCCAGGCCATTTCATGTGGCCCTCGCACCTCTCATACAGCTGTGGCACCCCCCTCATCTCAACCATACCTTGTCTCAGCAGTTGACAGACAGGCTAGAACTCCTCCTACAGATCCTGCACCTCTCTGTGCAGCCGCAGCGCGCCCTTGTCTCCGCCTCCCCTGGTCTCAGCAGCTGACTCCAGCCCTCTTCTGGTCCTCCTCCAGACCCTGCACTTTCTTCTTCCCAGCTCTGCCCCCAGCTTCTATCCGGCAGCAGCACAAGCTAAGGGGGGTGCACTGTGATGTAAGGGAGGGTGGGGGACTCTTAACTTCTAATTTAAGGGGGGGGGGGCTCTTGACATCTGATGTAAGGGGGGTAGGGTGCTCTGGACATCTGCTCATAATTGTTATAAGAATAATACAATTTTACGCCAGTTGTAAAGGCGGGTTGCACACTGCTAGTATTATCCACAAGAAACTTCATGGTTCTGTCTGCACAGTCTCCAGACTTCTACTTTCAGAGCTAGTTATTACTTACGTTATTACTAAAACCAGTAATAAGAAAATACAGAGGCAATTATTGAATATGATAAAGAGTAGATATATTTATATAGTCTTACAAAAAACCTAAAAGCTAATCTATATATTTTTGTTTTTTAAATAAATCTATCTAACAGCCCAAATTACTCACCTAAAACTTCAGTGCCCATTTGGTTTCTTGGTGGATGATGCACATTGACTGCAGTGCTTCCTGAAGCTTAAAAAAATGGGGGTGGGCAGATAACCAATGGGAGAGAAACTACTAAACACAGGCACCACAGAGGAACACATGACAATGGATTCAGGAAAGTTGTTCTTGGTTTCAGAGGCTTAAAAAAAATCTGTTGAGTAGATTGAGGTGGGATAGGGACCCACATATTATGAGACAGAAAGGTCCTCTGAATAATGCAGCCATTGCTAGATTGTCTGCTTTTGAGATGGACAAGATAACAAGTGTAGGGACCCTGCCTCAAGCTGGAGTGTCCCTAGTACAAATTAGTGTTGTTTTCAGCTAGGCTGTAGCCAGTCCAAGTTTTGTTTATATTTTTATATTCATTGGGTTTATCCTAAGCTCAGGACATTGATTATTTTAGCCTCTTGCTGTTGAGTGTCTCCAGTAGTTAGTGTGAGAAGTGACAATGTATTAAGTTATGAATATTAATCTGCCTTGGCCAATCACTGAGGGTTTTATTCCAGTAATGTATGCTGAGAGGAGGGGTTAAGTATTTGAAGCAACTTTCTAGAAGAGTCTTTCCTCCAAGGCTTTTTGCCTGGAGAGGATGTCACTGTACAGAAAGGTCCTTTCCCTCCCAGTCTTTGCCACTTATCACTGTAGAGAAAAATCTTTGCCTTCCCTTCTGGGCTTTGGGTTTCGTAAGGTCTTTTCTTGTGGTCTGGTCCCATGAAATCTTGTTTGGAGCATCTTCAGGCGAACCAGTTATGCTACAAAGTGTACAGGAGAGCTTAGGAGAAGCTGTTGTAGGATAGACATTCAATGGAGATTACTTACCTCTCTCTGGTATCTTTGACTGCTTGCATAGGGTGAGAGGACTAATTCCTATTGGAAGGCTGCTTCTAAAATATTAAGGCCACCAATAGTTGCTCTTAAACGATGTATTGTCATTGGGAGACCACTATTGAAGAAACTAGAACCACCAACAACTGCTTTTAAAGGATCTATTTGTAACTGGGGACTGCTGCTTATTGGATTAGAGCTACCATCCATTTTTGTTGCTGACATAACAAGCCCTGGGATATTTTGATATTTTTGTGCCCCTAACCCTTTCTCCACAAGTTTGTTGAGAAATAAATTGCAATAAAGGTTGTATCTCGCTGCACTTCTTACCGGATCAATGAATGTCCTGTATACAGGTGGGTGCTCGTCGCAGTGGTCACGGATGGCGCCGTGAATACCATACAAATATCAAAGATGTCACCAGCACACTAGTTTTAGTGATCTGCAAAAGTCTGTCATGGCAACTGGTCATTAAAACATACTTTTGATGATCACTAAAACTGGTGTGTGCTGGTGACATCTTTGATATTTATAAATTACAATAAGACCGAATTGTGATTGAGGCGCAATTGTTGCCATTGGTGTGTCTGAGTATTATCAGGTCCAGGTTCAGGGTAGGTCACCACAGGAGAGCAGCAGGAGAATCCATCATATATCAGCAGCTGCTGCAGGGGTAGTGCTATGCACACAGCACACTAGAACAGCAATGACACTGGAGATCTGACATAATCATTTACTTGTATATGATCATTTAATAAGGCAGAGTGAAAAAGAGTGATGATGTCCAAAGTACAATCACTCATGTCAGCCAGAGGTCTTTAGCGATAACTGATCCATTCTCCGATAGCTGGTTGCTATTGGCTGCTGAGAGCTCTGAAGCAGTGTCTTTTTAATCAATGGCAAGAAAGAAGTACCTTTTATCTCAACAGAAATGCAATTTGTTAATGTTGACATGTTCCTTTTTAAATCTCGTAAAGTATGGACTTAAAAGACAGGTCCACATTAAATAATCTCATAGGAGTTCTGTGATACTGTCATTTTTTTCATATCTTAAATGTTCATGAATGCTAAACACGCACAAGACCCAGTAAATTAACAAACTGACTGGGGAGATATCTCTCTTTGGTTTCAGACCACAGATATGTTTCATCACAATGCATAGGTGGATAATGTCCGATTTCTTTGAATTGTGTATATCGCTAATTGCTCTCCGGAGAACAAGGCACTTCCCTTAACACAGGCAGCAAACAAAATTTGTTTTGAACAAAACTGTTTTTAGTACTGATGCATCTTCTGGTGAGCCCCATAAAACATTCCAAATGTTCTAATTAAAGACAGGGATCGTGTATTTCTTTTCTATGTACTCAAAGCATGACAATATTAGAATTGTCTCCATACAGAACAAAGCTGATGAGTTCCTGCTCTAAGCAGCTGAGCCAGACCTTGTACCCTTGGTCCACATGGCTGTCTTGCAAATCTCTGTAACCCATTATGGATGGTTTTATTTTCAGAAACAATATTTTAAAGCTTTTTTTGGGAAATGAGCAAACAGATAATTTATGGGTCAGAATATAGTCCCTTTCCCACTCCTCCTCAAAGAATGTTATGCCCAATTGCATGTCCCATCTGGCAACCAAATGGGACAGTCAATTGAAAAGTCCCCCAATCAACAGCCTGTAAAACAAGGAAATGACATGGGATGGTTTTTATTGGTTAATATTGAATTCTTTAACCACTTGAAGTCCGCGGTGTTAAACCCCCTTCCCATCCAGGCCATTTTTCAGTATTCAGCGCTGCGGGACTTTGACTGACATTTATTCCGTCATGCAACGCTGTACTAGCTCTACGCATTGCACGGGTTTTTTCCTGCCCCTGGAGACGGCAACCCGCTAATGCAGCAGTGCCGTCAGTCCGTTTTTTTTCAACGGGCGGACGGCAACTGGTTGAAGGGTATTGGTTGAAGTGACAGAGGACTTAAGGAATTAACAAAATGTAAGATTGATCTTTGGGAAAGCCAGCTGTGGGGCTTCCTAAAGCTAGTGGAGTTTGTTTGAGTGAAGACATATTGAGAAATGACAGGGCCCCATTGCAAAATGAGGGGAGCCTATCGTTTACTTTTCTTTGCTCTCCCCTTGTCCATTCACAAAACATGTGTTTTTTTTTTTTTTTTTATTAAAGTTTAACCCAGCGTAAAGCTCCCTAGCACCCCTAGATGGTGAGATGACGTGTATAGGAAATGATGAGTATAAGAAACTTTTGTAATTGAACCCCCTTGCATTCTGTTCACAGAATACTAGGCTTTCTGTGAATAGACAAGGGGAGATGAGGGGTTGGTAAAGGACAAGTACACCACCAAAAAGTTTCCCTGCACACTCACCAGCTAACCTGAAAAAATACACAAGGTTAAATACAGAGGTCTTAGTTGCACGTCCTCTGCAGAATATGTGGAAGCCACACTGCCTCGTCAAGGCCCCTCTGTGTAGTGTGGTCCAATCTATTAGAGCCTCCACTTTGCAGCATACTCAGGGCAGGTGCTAGACTAATTTGCGCCCTATACAAGACCAGCTACTTGCACCCCTCTCCCGGGGTGTTATCCCCCCCCCCCCCCTGCCCACCCCCATTCC